CACGTTCACCCCCCCCCCCCCCCCCCCCGTTGCTGTCGATTGATACCAACCAGGTCACGGCGTGATGTTCAAGGCGCTAGGAATAATTATGTCTTTAATCAACATACGTACCCATCTGGCCATCTTGCCCCCCAGCCTCTACCTTATCCATCCATCCTCCAGCGATTCAGTTGACGAGGCTGACTCCATCATCCATGGATATTGGATATCGCGATTTTTTTTTCCTTATCAGCTTGCACAGTGAGCGTTGCACCACCTCCTCCATCCCTCCCTCCATCCCTCCATCCCTCGAATCCTCGATCCTCTTGAGGGGAAGTCTAAATTGTGTTCCTTGTACACCTTGTATATACTCAGCATACAGTAGGAGGTATCGGGGTCGAGATGGGGAACGGAAAGGGCCGCTTTTTCATCTCATCCCTTTTTCCATCCTCCTCTTCCATCTTCTTGCTGGGAAGCCTGTTGTGATGTTGTGATCATCACAGCATGAAAATACGTGCATGCAAGTGAAGTTGTGCATCTGCATGATTACCTACATGTACACTGCCAAGCTGCCGACTCAGCTCAATGTCAGCCTCGATATGTACATACCTTACATGTACTTGCGCACGGAAACGCATTTCCAGGTCGTCTCTCGTCAGGCACAGGCACAGGCACAGGCACAAGTACAGGGTAACAAACCAAAAAAAGGCAATCCACTGCTGACGACATTCGTGTGTGAGTGAAACACACAAAACAACAAGACTGGAATATGCCCGGCAGTCGGCAACACGGCGGAGGGAGTCTGGGGAGAGAGAGAGAGAGAGAGAGAGACCAAAATTGTACACCGTTGTACGTGAGACGCAACGAATCTCACGCATCCTTTTTTTTTTTTTGTTTTCGCCCCCATTCAGTCATCACAGTCACACAAACGGGGTAAACAAGGCTTTCTTCCCAAGCGGCGCTACTACTTACGCCGCAGTGCTTGCACTACGCCCCGGGACTGAACCGTGTGACCACCAACCACCATGTCTCCCTACCTAAGAAACTAGGACTGCGGGCAATTGGTGGGGCCCCAAATTTATCAATTTTATCAATGCGCCTATTGCTACTGTAGATATTATTGATGAGCACCTGTTTCTATTGTTGTTGTTGGTTTTCTTGATACTCATATCCATTCATTCCATCGAATAATGACAATCGACCTGGATCATCCTTCTACTCTGGTATCAACAAAAACCACAAGAATCATGAAATCGGAAAAACGGGTCGAATGTCCCAAAGAAGGGCCCGTCTACGCAGCTACACGAGGTGGAAATGTCGAAGATTTACGAGATATGGCTCGTATGGGTAAAAGGTTTGTATAAACTACCTTAACTCATCAACCAAAAAAGCAAAAAGCAAAACGAAAAGATGGAAAACGCAAAATGGGGTTTTTTTTGTTCTCAAATCAAAAAGACTGACTGACGTGCGGTGTGTGTGAAAAACAGCCAGGAGTTACAGCGAAATTTCAAATTGGTCACCATGTTTGGCTTCTCTGCCATTCTCATGTGCTCGTGGGAGTCCCTCTTGAGCAGCTTGAGCATCGTCTTGACGAACGGTGGAACCGCTGGCCTGATTTGGACTTGGGCGATTGTGTGGTTGGGTTTTACGGCTGTATACCTTTCCATGGCAGAGGTACGACTTTGACTCGGCACGCAATGATTCCGCTTTCCTTACACTTTTGCTGATGCTGATGCTGATATTGCTGGAATCAATCAGATGGGTTCGATGGCTCCTACTACGGGAGGTAAGGCAGTTATTTTGAAAAAAGAAAAAGGGACTGGAGATGAAGAAGAAGAAAAAATTACTGATGCTACTACACGTTCCCAGGCCAATATCACTGGGTGAGTGAATTCAGCCCGAGAAACTATCAGCAGATTCTGAGTTATGTTGTGGGTAAGACATTCAAACGACACCTCTCGATCCAAAAAAAAAAAAAAAAAAAACACCGCGAAATGTGTAAAGAAAGCTAATACATTACCTACCTATAACAAAAAAAAGGCTGGCTCGGAGTCCTCGGCTGGCAAGCCCTTCAAGCATCCATCGGATTCCAAGCCGGCACCATCATGCAAGGCCTCCTAGTTCTCAACTATCCAGACACATACGTCTTCGAGCGCTGGCACGGAACACTCCTCGTAATCGCAGTTCTCATCTTCGGGGCATTGTTCAACATTTTCCTCGCGACGAGACTACATTTAGTCGAAGGCTCGATTCTGATTGTTCATGTCTACGGCTTCTTCTGTGTGTTGGTTCCTCTCTGGATTCTTTCACCGCGATCGACTTCGGAATTCGCTTGGACGGCGTTTAAAGATCCTGGATGGGGAAATGCGGGTTTATCGGCTTTGATTGGGATGCAAGCTTGTGTTGTGCCGTTGCTGGGGGCGGATGCTTCTGTGCATATGAGTGAGGAGCTTAAGGATGCTTCTTATACTCTTCCGCGCTCTATGATGTGGGCGACGTTTGTTAATGGAGCTATGGGGATGATTACTGCTATTACGGTCGCTTATTGTATTGGCGATCTTACTGAAGGTTTGTCAATGGATACCTAATCCTGATCCACCCCTCCACACAGCCGCAAATTAATTTGGGAAATTGACTTGTGGATATGCAGTGCTCTCCTCACCTACTGGTTTTCCGTTCATCCAGATGTTCTACAACGCGACCCGTTCTTTGGCAGCCACCAATGCCATGTCCGGAGTAAGTACACGCATGTACTTTTTTCGATGGGATGGCACTGGACAGGGGGTATCTGCTGACATTTTTCTCTCCCCAGATCATCATCTTCATGGACGCATTTAGTGCTGTCACAATCATGGCCTCGGCGTCACGTCAGATGGTACATCCGCTGCTTCCATTGTGTTGCGCCCACCCCCCTGGGAGATCACGAGCTAACGAACGTTTTTTTGTCTTTCTCTCGCAGTATGCATTCGCGCGTGATCAAGGCACGCCATACTCGGACTGGTTATCTCGCGTACGTATTCTGATTGATTCGTGTTTCTCGGCTATGTGCGCTCATTTCAAGACATAGGTTGATCCAAAACTGGATGTGCCGAGAAATGCAGTGGTGGCATCGACCGTGATTTCCTGTCTACTCTCATTGATCAACGTGGGAAGTACCGTTGCATTCAACAGTTTAGTATCTCTCACGAACGGAGTACTGATGGTATCCTACTCCATTTGCATTGGATGTTTTGTGTGGAGGAGAATCTCCAACAAGCCTTTGCTTCCTTCACGCTTCAATTTGGGGAAATGGGGATTACCGATCAATTTGTTTTCTCTCGCTTTTCTCGCGGTGGTGTTTGTGATGGTAAGTTTTTTATCACTCACTCTCTCACTCACTTTTGAAACACCGACATCGACTTTGGGATTCGCCTTGCTGATAGCCAGATCACAACAGGCATTTTTCCCACCGGCACCATTTCCTTCGCTACAGACGATGAACTGGTCTTCGTTAGTCTTCACCACTGTCGCTATCTGGGGCATCGTGTTCTATTTCGTCTGGGCGCGTTTCAGATATGTCGGGCCTGTTGAATATGTAAGAAAATTGGACTAGTAGCGGTAACGGAAAGGGATTGCCAATGAGTGAATGATTCGGATCATGGATGATGATGATGATGATTACGATGGTGATGATGATGGTGATGATGATGGGGCGAGCACCCGAGCTTCTTCTTCTTCCCCTTCTTCTCCAGGGGGTTGGATCAGATCATCAACCTTGCCCTTGCACGAGCTGACTGTCCACCAACGGGACGAACATCGGGCAAAGACGTGCATAGCGCCAAGGCCAGCCGGCCAAAGTGATCCGGGGAGCGTCACAGTCCTACGGAGCACCCGCTGCTCCGATTGCTCGATCGAGTTTAGCATCTGCACACCAATGCATAGAGTGCATTGTAGAGTGCATAGACCAAGCTATTAGAGCTCTCAGCCCATGGTGCTTCTGCTGAGCTGACATCTAACCCCCCGACCCTGTCCCATTTTCATCTCGCGAAGTTAGCCCGCTGGCACTCCTTTTGCAGAGGGAGAAGATACAGAGTGAGAGAGAGAAGAGAGAAGAGAGGGAGGGAGAGTGAGAGAGAGTCAGAGAGTGAGACCTCACCTCAGTATCCATCCCTTTTCCACCTCATCCACTGCAAGTGTCTCAAACCGTCGATCTCGTGACCCCCTTCGATCCCCAAGCGCGCGAAACGCGCCTTTCTCTCCCTCTCAAGATGGACAAATCCGAAAATGTCATGTTCACAACCACATCAAGCAGCTACGACGCCCGCGTGCACTCCCCCGACAACGAAGTCATCAACAACTACCACGACGGCGACGATGTCTTCGGCCACGAACAACACTCCACCATCAAATACAAAACCCTCTCCTGGCAAATCGTCTCCATTCTCATGATTGCCGAAATCGTCAGCAATGGCATGCTCTCTCTCCCCTCATCCCTCGCCGTCGTCGGTCTAGCTCCCGGATTGATTCTAATCATCTTCCTCGGCGCCTTCGCCGCCTACACATCTCTCCTTCTCGTACGCTTCAAATTACGCCACCCCGCCGTGCACAACATGGGCGATGCCGGGCAAATTCTCTTCGGAGCTTTCGGACGCGAAATATTCGCCTTCGGCACGCTGTTTTTCGCGGTGCTTCTTGCCGGAGGACAAATGCTTTCGGGACAAATTGCTTTGGCGAAGTTGAGTGAGAATGGCTTGTGCAATATTTCTTTCACGGGGATTTTCGCTGCTGCGACGTTTTTGTGTGCGCTTCCCAGGACGTATGATTATTTGGGTTGGATTTCCATGGCCAGTGTGGGTAGTATTGTTGTCGCGGGGATTGTGGGCATGATTGGGGCGGGAATACATCCTGTCGAGAAGGCTGATCGTGAGGTGGTGGCGGCTCGATCGAGTGATTTTCAAACGGCTTTTTTCTCCATTACCAATCCGGTGTTCGCATATTGCGGTCATTTCATGTTCGCTTGCCCCCCCTTTTCCCCTTCTCACTTTTTCCCCCATCCATGAATTTCCGTCTCTGAACATATCTGAACTCCGCTAACATACCCTTCTCCTCTTTCCCCTTCCCTCCCCCCTCCGTATAGGTTCTTCGCTCTCATGTCCGAAATGAAACACCCCCAAGACGCCATCAAAGCCGCCTACACCCTCCAAACCTTCGCAACAACCTACTATTCCCTCTTCGCCGCAATCACCTACGCCTACCTCGGCAGCAGCGTCGCCTCGCCCTCATTTTCCTCCTTGGAACCCTCCTGGTCCAAAGCCGCGTATGGGATTGCACTTCCGAATTTGCTTATTGCGGGCGCTTTGTATGTGCACACGGCGAGTAAAATTTTGGTGGTTCGGTTTTTTCGGGGATCGAGGCATTTGCAGCATCATACGTTGGTGGGGTGGTTGGTGTGGATTGGTTTGGTGGCTGTGTTGAGTGGTTTGGCGTTTTTGTTGGCGGTGGGGGTGCCGATTTTTAATTATTTGTTGGGGATTACGGCTTCGGCTTTTGCGGCGTGGTTTACTTATGGGATGTGAGTTGTTCTTTTTTTCCCCTACCCTTTGCCTCCTGATATCGTCAGATAAAATAAATTCACCCAACTAACACGCCACCCATCAATATAGTGCCGGCATGTTCTGGCTCCACGACAGTTATCACGACGGAGCAGGATTCCAGACGTGGAAGCAAAAAATGTGGACAGGCACCCTCTCGGCCATCCTGACCATTCTCGCGGGTTTATTCATCTGTATTGCGGGATTATATGTGACGATTCAAGCCATTGTGGATGCTTATGCTGACGGGACTATTACTGCACCGTTTAGCTGCTAAAAGAAAAGGAAAAGAAAAGGAGATTTGGGGGGAAAAGTTAAGATGGGAATTAGAATCGTGATTGTTCAGGGTGTTAGGTACATACCTAGAGCAAAAAAATATTATTTATTGTGTTGTACAAAGTACAAATATGATGATGAAAGCGAATTGTTCCTTCTATGCCTCCTCTGACTGAGGTACCTAAGTAAGGTATTCCAGACATCGCTTTCCGTGTCGTGCGCTTGGACGGCTATAATGGTGTCCCTTCTTACTTCTTGCTTCTTGCGAAGCGAGTTGACTTTTATACAACATGTTCAACGAGAAATCTCGCAGAGCCCATCAATGAAGGTTGCGCAACAATCCAATCGCGTGGACTTTCACCACCTTAGAACACACGCATACCGGAATGCTAACCCCTCATGGTCTGCTTTTTCGTCTGCTTGCGCTGCGTCTTCTCCTTTTCCTTTTCCAAAAACTTCTTCTGCTCCTCGGCACTCATCCTGCTCAGTTTGCGATCGCGCTCTTCCTTCTTGAGCTTGTCGCTGGCCTCTCTTCTCTCGAGCGCCTTCTCATCTTCGTCAATCTTCTTGATCTTGCGAATCTCCTCCTCGCGTGTGGCGCGGACTTTGCGGAGTGCTTCTGGACGGAAATGGGCGCCTGTTACCAGTTGATCGGGTAGACGGAGGAAGTAGGCAAAGAGATCTGCTGCTGCTCTGGAGGTCGAGAGTCGGGTCAGGAGCTCAATGCGCTTCTTGGGTACGAGATCATTCAGTCTGTGGCTGGATTAGTATCTCTGTCGGGCGAAGTATAGGGAGAGCGAGACTTACTTTCTTGGAGCATCGACTGGCTGATCGGTGATGATCAGAGCCTCCAGGTCATCCCCAGCAGCAGTAACGGCCTTGATGAGCTCTGGAGTAAGAAGAGCCTCAGTAATCTCTGCGCCCTCAGACATGACCGTCGCCCATTGGGGCAGCTTGGGATGATCTTTCTGCACAGCCAAGCTGACATCATATCGGTCGTTGCGAAGCTTCCTCATCTTATCCTTGTGCACAATCGCCCAGACAAAGCCATCAAAAGTGCTGTCTCGGTGCTGTGAGCTCTGGTTCTGCGCCTGAGCCGGCACCATGCTCCTCTCTCGACCATCAAACGCATATGCCGTCGCCTCGAGTCGCTCTTCCGGCGCATCATAGCTGTCCACAAAGAAGGACGCGGCGAGCTCACCCATCCAGATCATCGGGTTGTAGCGCTTGTACAGAGTGAGTTTGACATCCAGAAAAGCCACGTTCTGTCTTCCCGTCGCATACGTGATGTACTCGTTCTTGCTCTTTTCCTTCCACAGCAGTCCTGGCTGCCCATCCGCTCTCTTTGCTCCAAAACCCACCGCTGCAAACTCCTGCTCCAGGTGAGGCAGATGTAGCTCCGCCCACTCTGCTGCGCGCTTCTTGTTGGCTCGAGCTCCCCACATATTCACCAGAATGACCACGACGATGATGGGTATAATGAAGAGCTCCTGGTAGAAGTCGGCGATGGTCACGCGCTCCCATACTCGATACCATTTCGTGTAGGGACGTCCAGCCAGACCCGTTCCTATGCCGGAGAAGGTTCCCTTGGGAGTGGGTTTCGTGGCGGCAGCATCGAAGGCGGACGAGGCAGTCTGGACGATGGGCGCGGCTGCTGCTGTCGCAAAGTCGGCGAAGTCTATAGAGAGACGACGAGTCAGTATGGTAGGCCCAGTAGCAGACGATCATGTGAAAACTGATAGCGGGCATTCGAGGACATACCATCTGTATCCACGGCAGAGGCCGCAGAGGTGACTGACGACTTCGCACCGCCCAGTACGCCCTGGAGGTTGCCGAGGAGGCCGGCCATATCAATGCGATTGCGACAACGTCCAACAAGAGTGGAGCGGAAGCAGAAAAGGACGGGGACGGGGACAGGAAGTGAAAGAATGAAAGCTGTACTGTGGTATGAGATTGGGAACGCGGTAGAATTCAGGTACCGTAGGCCGAGAGCTAGAACTACCTAGAACTGAGGTAGAAGCTAAGCCGGCTATTCTGCCTTTCCCTCTACCAGCTATCACATCCCCATCGGGTTATCAGCTGTGTAACTTGCCATGTGAACAGCTGGGACAGGCTACAGCTACCTGATAGAGTCTCGTGTTCATCTGCTCCATCTCACCCTCTTTGCCTCTCTCTCTCTTTCTTCCTCTCTTTGCTCCTCTCCCCTCCTCTCCCTGCCCCAACCTGCGCACTCTCACACACTCTCTCATCCCACCATCATGTCCCAACAGCAGCCAGGTGCAATCTTGCCCAAGCACCGAAAGCCCTGCAGTCTGCCAAGCGAGAACTCTTCCAAGTCCTTCTGGCATAGTGAGCCGTCGAGCCTCCTTCTGGGCCATCGTTCGACTCGAAACCTGCCCAAGTATGCCGATGTGGTAATTGTAGGGACTGGCATCACAGGTACCAGCATAGCACATCATCTCCTCACCGATGGCAACAGTAACGGGAAGAAACCCACTGTGGTCATGCTCGAGGCCCGAGAGGCATGCTGGGGAGCTACAGGACGAGTATGCCTTGGTTGTGCACACAACCGATGAAGTGTGTGGCTGATTTTCCTGCCAGAACGGCGGTCATTGCCAACCCATCTTCTTCGAACATCCAGAGCATCCTGATATTGGCCGTTTTGAATTGGCCAATTTCAAGGCCCTCGGCGAGATAATCAATGAAAAGCACATTGACTGTGAATTTGTGGCTCAGCCCGGCGTTCGCGGCCTGTATACAGAGGCGCACGTCGAAGCCGCTAAACATGCACTCGAGACCGTGAAGGAAACCGCACCAGATTTGGCATCCATGATGCGATTCACTGCTTCTAAGCAAGAGCTGGCTGCACTTCGCATCCCGACCGCCTTGGGAGCCATCATCACTGACGTAGCAGCACGAATGTGGCCGTACAAGTTTGTTTCTCACATTCTGGAAGAGCTTGTCACTTCGCCCGCGTTACACGCATTCTTCAACCTCCAGACTCTGACACCCGTCACTGCTCTATCTCCACATACCAATGGGGTAGAGGTGCACACATCTCGTGGCAAGATTTCCACTTCGAAAGTCATCCTGGCTACGAACGCCTACACATCCCATCTTCTCCCCGAATTCGCGGATCTGATCGTCCCATGCCGTGGCCAAATGAGTAGCCTGGTACCATTCCCTTCCGTCTCAGGAGATAACAGATTGAAGACCTCTCTGGGGTTTCTTGGCGACGGTCTAGATGATTACCTGATTCAGCGACCGACAGAGCGGGGTGGTCATCTCATGTTTGGCGGTGGAAGACAACATGGTGAATCGATTGGTGTCACAGATGATAGCGTTGTAGATTCCGAGACCGCTCACTACCTCCGCAGTCGACTCGTGGATGCCTTCCAGCTGCCAGAAGGTCAGAAGGGTGATGATACAGTCGAGATGCCAGCCACTCACATGTGGTCTGGCATTATGGGCTTTTCCAAAGACGACCGACCTTGGGTGGGCAAAGTGCCTGATTCGCCTAATACATACATTGCAGCAGGCTTCACTGGGCATGGCATGCCCAACGCCTGGCTAAGTGGGAAGGCTGCAGCTCTACTCGTTGCGCAGGCACTGGTAGATACGGACGAGGCTGTGGCGTCCGCTCTGGTGCAGCAGGTGACTGGATTACCCGCTGGCTACCTCGTCACTGCTGAGCGAATTCAATCTGCTTTGTCTTTGGAAGACGTGGAAAGCAAAGATTGGGCTGAGATGCACAGAGGTCTCAAGCACAAGGAATAAAGAGGATGAATAAATGAGAGGAAAGAAACGAATTCGTGATTTATCGGGTATCATCTCTCCATCTATCTACAAACGTCAACACATCATCTACTGGAACGACTCGCCAGCGTGATGGAGCACATCAAACAGAGAGCTTATGCGTCTCTGTGCTCAAACACTAGACTGACATGGTCATCTCCCGCAGTGATGACATGAGACCCTGCCACCTGCTTATGTCCATTCCCTTGCACGAACCCGAGAATTCCTCCTCTCTCTCCATCATTTTCCATATGCCCTTTCCATTCCTTCACCAACCCTTGTCCCGCGCTAGCTGTTCCTCCTCGAACATCCCAGCGTCGAACGACACCATCGTTGCCACAGGACGTGAGCAAATGTGCTTTGGTGTTGGCTGTACCGAGAGGAGTCTTTGCGAATTCGACCTTGATGACAGCATGAGGCACCTCGTCGAGCGCATGTGAGTCTTTGATCAAACGTCGCACCGCAAAAGATTTCGCGGCGTCGAAAATCGCAATGGAGCCGTCTACACTGCCTGCTGCGAGGAGGGTGAGTGGAGGCTGACTGAAATCGAGAGTCTCTACTCCATCTGTCTGCGCCGCAAAAGCAGACAGGATTTGGCCATAACTGCTCGCTCCAGCAGCGGGTGCTTTGCTTTTCCCTGCACTCTTCTGTTGTGATGATGATGATGGCGCTGAGGGAGAAAGGCGAGGAAGTGAAATCACACGAATATTGCCAAATGCGCCTCCGACGGCTACAATGCCTCCTCCGGGCGATATCGCGGCAGAATAGAGGCCTCCGTCGACCTTGAAGCGCTCGTCATCGGCTGTGAAGCGGATTATTGCTTGACTTCCATTCGGATCGGATACTCCTGCTGCTGCTGCTTCGCCAAAGACGTCCCAGACATAGAGAGAACTGGCTTCGTCTACGGTAGCGAGGAGTTGGCCACCGGGCGTCCAGGCCCCCGCTGTGCAAGGTGCTTGGTGCAGGAAGAAAGATTGGATCATGTTGAGATTTTGGCCGTCGATGCTGTAGATCCAGACACTTCCATCCGCTGCTCCCAGGGCGATGGTGTTGGCGTATGCTTCGTTGGTGGAAGGACAAGGTACAATCCAAGTAATGTCGTCGACTTCTTTGGCAGAAGCAACTAAGTGTGGTTGTGGCGATTGCGCTGTGGGTGTGGTGTAGACATTCAGCGTGCCGCCTGCTGTGCCTGTAGCAATGAAATCACCTCGGGGTAGTGTAAATGCGATGGTGTTGACAGTCTCGTCTTGTGGGCCGAGTTTGGCAATGACTTGCTGGCTCTGGCGTTCTCGCGGCTGTGGGTTTGTCTCGTAGCTGGCCGGTAGCACTGGGCCAGGCTCTGGTGTGGCATCCCAGACGTAGGCCGTGTCATCGCCTCCGCCAGTCGCAATGATTTCTGGTCGGGTGGGGTGTTGAGCTATGCAGTAGATACTGTCCTTGTGCGCGTCGAAGTGGGCGACACTGTCGTTCTGCAGCTGTATCGTCTGTTGTACGTCGCCTGGTCCGTCATCTTCTTCCTCTCCCCCCGAGTCCATGGCAGCATCGCCATCCTCGTCTTCCACTACTTCTTCTGCCTCGTTCGGATCGAGCATTGCTTGGTCTTCCTCCTCCTCCTCCACTTCTCGGTGACCATTCTGATTGCTGGCCATTGTTGTGGATTTGATTGACTCGAGCAGCGACGTCGTTTGGTTGAGTGAATGTCTCTGCAAAAAGAGAGTATGGGATTGGGTGAGTGCTAAGCCAGAATTATATCTGCCCGCTCTTCTGCTTTGAAATCGGGATGCGGTTGGAAAATTCTGGAGCGATGTCATAATCTTTAACTAAACTTTGAGTAGGAATTGACGACTTTCTAACGGACACTCCCGCCTTACCCATCCCAGAGCGCAAGGGCCGATCTGGGAAGTGGAGACTGGGTATTAGCCAAGACCCAACTTCACCTCTGCCCGAGCTTCATCTCGTCGTTCACACTGCCTGAGCATAACTGCGATGATGCTCTACAGAAGCAATTTTTTTTGTACCAATACCATCAGTGTATCGAGAGAAAGAGCTTGGAAACACTGTTGATGGCCTCGCGGTAAGAGTAGAACCGTGCACAGCTGCTATCATGGCACGCTCCGAGAATGCTGGGACAATACACACTTGGGCACAGCAGACGTATCCGTCGGGAGAATTGAGCAGTCTCATTATGGCGATCTCGTCGTCAGTTGGGAGGAAAGAATGTGTGCTGGAGATATTGCTGCCACGAGCGGCCATACCTCCCTACATGCGCCCATAAGATCCCGTCCGTAAGATACAAAGATATCTACTGAAGACCACTGAGCCATACGAGGCTTCTGCTGTCATGTCTCAATGCTGCTTGTGCATGCGCAGGTAATGAGTTGCTGCATTGACGCGTTCCAGTTATGGCGAACCGACCTCCAACTCCCGTCTCCTCTCACAAAACGACCACAACCGGCAAGTTCCATTGAACACAAGCGCGCCAGCTCTGAGAAGCGGAGCAGTAGGCAGCCTGGAATCAGCCGTGACTGGAGATGGGTTTCTGCTTGTGCGCAATCATCATCACGGGGCTTTCCAACTTCCTTGGCAACGGTTTCCATGTGAATTGCCTAACTGGTAGTATTGCGCCACAATAGGAAACTATTGTGGGAACCTATTGAGATAAATGGCACGTGTTGTGCGATATAAGTGGCTGTGCTTGCGTGTTACTGCTCAATCAGTGAATATTTGGGCTATTTGGACCCACTTTCGCTCTCGATGCGGCCACGCGGAGAGAGCTATGAAACGCACAACGTGAGATTCGAAATGCTGGTGGCTGGGGCTCAGTCATACCCTCTCAATATTCCACGCCTTCTCTTCTTCTTCCTCTTTTCCGAATTCTCAACATCTACACCGCACTTCATCCATCCTTCAGCACACTTCTGTTGTTTGCTTTCCGTCTTGCGGCTTCTGGCAATTTCTGCCTCGCGTTCTGGTCACAGCTGTTAACGCGTCAAAAATACTCGGACATTCAAGTCAGTTACAGCTATACTTATTGCTACGTGCGGCAATAACAGGAAGACAGACATCAGTAGCAAGAGCAGGAAACGGACAGTAGTACATCGACAGATCCCCATCGTCACTATGGCGACCAGATGGCATTTCGCTGGGGATGATGCGCTTCCGTATGCTTTTGGTGCTATCGGAGAAGAGGTTAAGGCGGCGCGAGGAGATTTCAACTTCAGTGACAATTATGGCGCAAGGTAACTTTACTCCTTAAGTATCTCTACTGCCCGAATCTAACCACCTACAGTAGCGTCTTCGAGAATTCACCGACCAGTAGCGATGACACGGATAGCTTACGCAAACTGGTCGAAGGCTCCAAGCCCTTGAATAAGGAGAGTCCGCGAGCTGCACTGTACCAGGCACAATTCAAGACTAACGAGCCATCCGCCGACGACATCGAATTGCAGAAAGAGGAAGCTGCGGTGGCAACCCTTTTGGAAGCAGTCGCCGGATTCAATATGGACGGCTATGACTATCCTTGTGATGAATCCTCTGTTGACTCCACTATACCTACAATGGAACATAGCCCTATCCAGGCCCCGGGGTACCCTGACTCCGAGGATTCCGACTCTCCCACTCCGCATAGTCGCCCAATCCGCCTGGCAGACATCGAGTTCCCCACACCGCAGCGCCAACCAGTCAGCCTGGCGGAATACAAACGATCACCTCCAGGCGCCGCAACTCGTCATGTGAGCCACAGCGTATCGCACCTTGGATACCCATTTCTGCCGTCCCCCGTCCAGGAGGACCCACGTGGTCAGTCGGCAGAGCTGACCGCTGAACCTGACCATACCAACGACAAAATCGTCCATTCTCAAGATCCGGTATACTGGTTCAACCATGAGGCCCTTTCCAGTCTCGAACCACGAGATCTGTTAAGCATACTTTATGCCGCTACCTCTGGTGCTACCTCTGGTGCTACCTCTGGTGCTACCTCGAGCAACAGCTCGCGCTCCGATCAGAAGACGTACTTGGAGCTTTTCAACGACGTCAATGACAAGATCGAGTTGATTTGTCGCAGTTATGTTTCCATCAACGCACCTGGCGATCCCGAGGAGCGCCGCAAGTTCAAACACCTTGCATCTTCGCACGTCAACTACAAGGGGGTTGCCCAATACATCATGCAGACCGCACACCTGCAGTCAGCCTTTGTCGTCGGCCTGATTTGGCGCTTGGTTTTTGACTCCATATTTGACACTCCGGTGCTTGATCAAGCCCCATCGCCGTACGCCCAAGCTTTTCTCAAGGCTTGGATCGAAGACTTCCACGGTGACCCCACCCGTTCTCAGATGGAATGGGCTGAATACAAACGTCCCCGCATGGAAGCTCGCACTGCAGCCGCCCGCAATGTGATTGAGCAGACGCATGGATTCACCGAGTGGGTCGAGTACTTTGCTGCAACCAAGACTATGGCCATTGTCGATCAACTCGCCTTCGCCTGGCGCCAGGGCACCAAGAAAACGGTCTCGGTCGAACTCTGCGTGCCTATCCTCAAGCTGGTTCGCATTGCCATCCGAATGCGCTCGGAGCTTAGACATTTCGGCTTTACGTTCCTACAGTATGGGCTCAAAGCCCGAAGCGATATCTATGTCCAGCACAGCGAATACGGCAGCGAGGCACCACCACCTCCATCGGACGATGAGAACCAACACGTCGTCTTCACCAAAGTCCCAGGCATCTACGAGAGAGACTTTGGCGAAGTGCGCCTTGCGCAGACCGACCTGTACAAGCTCGAAGTCGTGGTTCGCAAGAATTGGCCGGGCAAGGGACACATGCACAAGAAGTTCACCGGTGCACTCGTCAACTCGCACCCGGAAGGCCTTCGCCGCTAAAACCTGCCAAGAAGAGGTGTGTATCTGGTCACAACACACCACCAACGCGCCACTTGACCATTTTCTTTTCCTTTGCTCCTTTGTTCCATCGAGAACCGCGCACACACACAGAGAGAGAGAGCGGGCGCGACAGAGCGAGCAAGAGCAAGAGAGAGAGGGCAAGAGAGAGAGAGAGCGCGCGCGAGAGAGAGCAAGAGACACCAAAAGCAAGCAAGAGCAAGAATACTGCGCGATTTTGATTTTCCGGATGCGAACACACACAATGGAGGAGACTTTTTTGCTTTTCAAATTTTTTCTGCAAGACGCGATTTCGATTCGAGAGGGGAGTTAATTGATTGATTGATTTGATGATGAGAAAGAAGATCACAGGAAAAGTTCATTCAAGGATGGGGGTGCATTGCAAGTATGATGGATGGATGACCAGGGAGCGACATGTTTTTTTGCGGATGCTACTACTACTTTTTGCTTTTGTTTTTTGATTTTGATTTTCTCTCTCTCTTGCTCACGGCGAGGAACGATGGATGGCCCTTGCTGCACTTGAGACTCGAGGATGGAGACAGTCAGGTCCATAGAGTTACCTACATATGGACTGTACGTTGTGAAAGTACGCAGACATCTCTCTTTTGCTCTTCTACGTCTATGAATTGAATGACAGACAGACAGATAGACTGAATGAATGAATGATCGTCCCCGTGGACGAACTGACTGACAGATTGACCTTTGATCCAGAAAAAAGACACCTCACTCGCCCCAGCGGCACCAGAAGAAAAAGAAACCCCCCAAGATCCATCCCCTTCATCTCATCTCTACGACTTCGCCGCCTTCTTAAACTTGCCCGCAATCACCTCCTTGACCAATTTCACATCCGTCCAACCCCCTTTCCCATTCTGCACAGGCGTCTCCGTCAAAGCATAACTGCCATCAAATTTCCCCGCGGCCCAACCCACCCATCCCAGATACACATCACTATACTTATTCATCGTATCCAACTGCTCGCCCAACAATTTCACACACCCATCATCATTCGCCCCACCGCCCGTCTCCGTCAACATAGCTTGTCGCTTATTCGAGCGCAACCAGTCTCCGAGAGAAGAGAATGCTGCGGCGTTGTTGGTGCTGCATGATGTGGAAGTGCCGCTGCCGTCGGAATCGAGATAGGCGTGGACGTCGAAGATGAGATTGGCGATTGTGCCGTCGAGGTTGTGGACGCGTTGTAAAGCGGCTGCGGAGCCGTCCGAGACGAAGCTGGTGGCGTGTGTCCAGTCGTTTCCTGGAAGGAGGATTTTGTGGGTGCGTTGGGAACAGCCGGTTTTGCGGATGGCGTCGACGGCGGATTGGACGGTCGTGGCCCATTTGGTGATGTCGACGTCGTGCTGGAAATTTATTGGTTAGTTACTGTAGATAGGTACATGTGATGAGGGATTAAAATATGTTGTTGTCACTCACGGGTTCATTCATGATGCCAAATGCCACTTTGGGCTGGTTGACATAGTGCGTTGCGATTTGAGACCAGAGATTGGCGAATTGGTCATTGGTCGGTCCTCCTTGACCAACAATGCCTCCATTCCAGCGTGCATAGTTGTGAATATCGATGATGCACATGGCGGCACCAGCATTGATGCAGCCTTGGACTTGCTTATCGTAGGTTGCAAAGTTCGTAGCGTCCAGTTTGCCGCCGAGCTGGTTGTTCACCAGGAACTGCCAGCCCACGGGGATGCGAAAGACGTTCAAGCCCGAATCCTTCACAAAGTGGTTCATTTGGCTGATACCTGCTTCGGCTGGATCGACGACGCCTGAGGTAACGCAGTTACCGGATGTATCGCAACCGAAATCGAGGCCTCTGTAGAGCGGAGGAAGGTCCGAAGTCAGTATAGTTGCCCTCGTGCGAGTGAATGAATGGTTTGAGTCTGCTTACGCGATGTTTACGCCAGCATAGCTGACAGTGCCGGCGACGGCAGAACCAGCTGCTGCTGCCAACGACAGAATGTAAGAGCGCATGATGAAAGGAGTAAGGGTAGTGGAAAGAAGAGAGTGACAAGAAGAAGATCACAAAAGCACGAAGAGGAAAGTCTTGGTGTTGACAAGAAAAAACAGAAGCATCGCAGACAAGCAAAACTTATAACTACCTCCATCTGCAGAGTGTGCACTTCACTTTGATCAGCAGCCACACCGTACACGGAAGAACTCACGTAAACGGACTCGGCCCTATTTGGGCGTGGTATTTTCGGTGACTGGTCCGCATTGCGCAAGTCTTGGAAACGAATGTCTGGTCTAGATTGAATAATGGCAGGCTTGTCTTGTCTAGAACGTGGTGAACCGAAGCCTTCTTCTCCTTGTTGTCCAGGGCATGCAGCCTCATGACCCACAACCGTGGTCGTGGGAAGGATGATGAAAGGCTTCGAGATGCCTTCTCGGTACGCCCTCTCAATGTGAGGTTGACCCATAGCGGGCCTTGCACTTTGGGATGCAACTTCTCAACAACGCTTGTTTCAGGATCCCGGTGGATATCGCACGTTGGAAACATCGCTTAGGAAATGTACCGACACGGCAATAGTAGGTAACCATCTATGCATCCGCGGCGTCTGGAGGATTTCCTCATTATCATCATCATCACCATCATGTCCACACCGTCTCAGCCGCCGCGGGCGTGTCGACTGGCGGACGGAAGATTTGTGTTGACCGGGGGAAATATCCGGTGGTCACATGGAGCATCTATGCGGACTGGCCGGTACACACAATGTCATGATACTGGCCATATCTGAAAAGGCGCAAAGGGGGCGGTGATACTGATGGGTAAGGGTGTGAAAAGGAGTGGATGAAGTCCGAGGTGACCCCTATACCACCTATTCTAACTTAGTGCGGTGTACCTGTGCTGCCAAGACTCGCTCGTACTGTAGCTTCGGAGGAACTTCCGCCAACATGAAGCCGACCTTTCTAGTCCTCTTGCAAATATAGTAATATACCGTCTCCTCTTGTGGATTTCATGGTTGTATATGGTACAAGTAACAAACTCAGCATTCTTCTGCCATGCTCCAGGAATTCAATCACAAGAACCACCAGCCATTCACGGGTATAGGATAGCCGACTATGTATAGTGACTTGAACAGAGGCGGGGTAGAACTACATACCTACCTTTACTCCATCAGACTGCACCTTATCTTCTTCCTGACAATAGCATAGCATCCAGCATTCAACAGCAGAAGAAGAAGAAATTCAAGCCAAGCCATGCCTCAAAAACTGACTCTCGCAGTCTCCCAATCCCGCACCCTCTCCACCCTCTCCTCCACCCTCTCCTCCCTCGCCTCCACAACACGACTCGCAGCAAGCCAAAACGTCGATCTCATCCTCTTCCCCGAAGCCTTTTTAGGCGGATATCCTCGCACCGCAGCCTTCGGAGCCACCGTCGGATCGCGCAGCGAAGCAGGTCGAGAGCAATTCCTCCAATACTTTCACAGCTGCGTAGATTTAGGAGATACACCCACGGGAGCAGGCGAAGATTGGATTCAGAAGAAAAATTTGCCCATAGCAGAGGGAAAAGAGTGTCGAGGAGATGGGACACGAGAATTCTTGGAGCAGGTGGCGCGAGAGACGGGCGTGTTTGTGGTGACGGGAGTGGTGGAGAAGAGTGGTGGAACACTATATTGTGCAGTAGTCTACGTCTGTCCTCGACGGGGAGTAATAGGGAAAAGGCGCAAAGTGATGCCGACGGGTTCGGAAAGATTAGTGTGGGGACAAGGCTCACCTGCGACGTTGAAAGCCATCACGACCACCATCCGGAACGTCCGAGTCGTCATGGCGGCGGCGATTTGCTGGGAAAATATGATGCCGTTGCTGCGATACAGCCTGTATAGTCAAAATGTCAATTTATGGTTGGCTCCTACTGCCGATGCAAGAGATACTTGGCTTCCACTCATGCGAACTGTAGGGAATGAAGGGAGATGTTTTGTATTGAGCAGTATTTCATGTCAGAAACGAAAAAACCTCCCCGAATGGGTTACGGGAACGAAGACGAAGACGACGACGAACTCAACAGCAAGCGCTACGACGACGACGACGACGACGACGACGAGCACGCCAGCAGGACCAGCAAACTCTAGCCGTCGTCGATCCATCATCGTAAAAGAAGACGAACACGAATTAGTATTACCCTCTCTGAGCGAAACCCACGAATCTCAGCCTCCTTCTTCGAAACAGGAGAAGAAGAAGAATCCCACGCCGGCGGCGGCGGCGGCATCACAATCTTCTACTACAGCAACAAACGCAGGAAATTCCGCCGCTGGTGCATTGGGAAATTCTCACGGCGGAGAGAAGGAAGATGACGACGACGAGTTTGTCTGTCGTGGTGGATCGTGCATTATCGGACCTTTTGGCCAAGTGTTACAGGAACCACTCTGGGACGTCGAAGATGGCGGATTGTTGGTGCAAGAGGTCGACTTTGAAGATTGCGAACGTGGGAGGCTCGATCTTGATGTCGCTGGGAGCTATAGCCGGAACGATGCCTTTAAACTCACCGTTGAAGGGCTGGACCTGAATCCGCCTCCCTCATAGACCGCGGGGAGTTTCTTCTCATCTCCAGTCTTGTGAAAAGCGAACTCGGGCACAACACCATCATCATTATGGGAGAGTCATAAAAGGCAATCTTCAAGAGAGAGAGGTGATTCAGGTGACCAGTACAATTGGCTTTACAAGAATTATACACAACAATTTTGGATAGTCGTTATAAACGTGCGTTGGCGATGTGCAACCACGTTTGCCTCCTCCTTCCTCTCTCGCTCCGCGCATCTCGCTCGTCCACCTCTCAAGCTCTCCCCCAAGCAACAACATGCACCAGACCTGCACCAGACCCAAAACACCTGCAAATACAACTAAGCATACAACGAACCTCTCGAAAGTGTTATTTCTAGTCGCTCAAAGTGTCCTTCTCGAAGCGCTAGACTGATCACACATGCCGTTACACACCCTCATCATTGCGAGGGTTTCCATCGAATGTTACCAAGTATACGATCGCGGTCACGAAGTCTTGTATTTACTGAGCTTTGCGCCTGCGTGCCAGACACAAACCAGAAGCATACATCTCTACCGTGACCCATCAAAGCAGCAGACCACTTTCCCGCGCCATCGCAAAAAGTAACGCCTTTTCTTTTTGTCATACATCAACACCGGTGAATGCAATTATCAAATAGTCGGTTTCTGGCCCGTCACTTGTTTCAAGCTGGCCTAGGTATACATGCAAGAGTGAAGCCGAGTTCGAGTTCGAGAGAGTGTGTCGTACGTAGCCAGTAGGAGCACTGCGGACATAGCCTAGTGGCCATATCCATTCCCATGTCCGTTGTTCCTATTGTTGCGCCCCCGCCTGCCATTGCCGTTCATCTGGCCCTGCGGATGTGGCATTTGGCCTTGTGGTACGAAGTACTGCTGTGGAGGCATATAGCCGTATCCATTGAGAGTGGCGGGCATGCCAAGCATAGGGCTGCCATAGGCTTGCTGCTGATATCCAGTCTGCATCGACATTCCAGGTGGAACCATAGGAGAGGCACTCACGTTCGGTCTGTACGGATCTACCATGTGGGCTGGTGAACCACCGCCATACGAATTCATGCCAGCAGGAGGGGCATAGAAGCCAGGAGGCCTAGCCATGCCACCTTGAGCGAGCATCGCTTGCTGGTACTGGACGTTGATCGGACCAATTCCCGAGTTGGACATGGCGGGGCTGTGTGTGTATTGCTGCTGCGCGTATGGGTCGAACCCATTCGACTCCGTGCTGATGGTGCGCTGGAGTCCAGCACCCATGCTAGGATCAATATGTTGCGAATTCGCATATGCTGGTCGCTGATAGCCGTTCTGCGCCTCACCATGTGGTAGGTTGCCGCCTTGCTGCCGAGATCTCGAGTTTCCCCGGCCATCATGACTGACGGGAGTGCCGCCATGGCGAGTGGACATTCCGACTTCGTCCATGAGCCTCTTGTAACCCTGGGTCGGCTGCGCTTTGAGACGTGTGAGCACGTTTCGGACGTTCTCGAGGCACTCCGGCCGCATATTCTCGTCCAGGAAAGGTGTAGTCAGCACTTTGAATACAAAGGTGGCTCCACATGCCTGATCGGAGATGATGTCAAACAGCGTCTGCTCGTTGAAGAATAAGGCTCGGAGAATGCTGTCACGAGCATCGGGCTCGTTGCGCTGATTGATGACCTTGAGCACTGTAAGGTACGCTACCTTGTGGGTGCACAGATGGACGAGATGTGGGATTATTCGCGGTGCCAGTACAGATCGGCGTTTGGGATAGGTGCAAGTGTCGAGGAACCATGTCAGCAGCAGTGCACCATTCGAATTGGTGGCAAGCTGAACGCTGTGTAATGCAATGGCAGCAGCCATCAACCTCTTCTGATCGTTGGTGGCAAAGTGGCTTTCGAGGCACGCACGTACGGCCCGAGCGCCAAATCGTCCTTGAGCGACATCCCAAAGCCTATTCAGCGCCGTATCGAAGATGAATTGATTGAGCGGCGCCTGGAAGCGTAGGCAACATTGCATAACATAATTGCCGTATTGGTCCAAGAACAGATTGACACCATGGGGGCGAAGCGAGTCCACGATCAAGACCATTTGGGCATGCGTCCGGGCAACGTCGATGATCTTCTGTGCTGCCCACGTGCCGTTCTTGTGGACACCAATCTCAGACAAGTGGGGGGCGAGTTGCGTGAGCATTGCCTCTTTCGTATCCTCGGAGCTGTTTTCGAAGAGCTTCTGTACAACGGTGTTTCCGAGATAATCGGACGCCAGCTCGGCGATCTCGGGCAGCATCTCCATGGCGATGTTTTCCATTTCCGCGGGTGATACATTGTTGTTGTCAATACGCTTCCTGATCTCGCGAAGACGTGGCGCATCGTGAACACGGTTGTGGCTCGGCTCCAGTATCGGTGGGATTTCGTCCTGGTACCCATTGTAGCCCATGGCATCTTCCAAACTCTGGTTGATACGTGACTGTTCCTCCGGAGAGGCGCCAAAATGCTGCACAATATCGGCGATCTCCTCACGCAGCTCCAGGAGATCTGGCGTGACCAGCGCTGCGGCTGCTGTCTCAGCATTGATATTGCCAGCAGCGGCGGTGCTGACACCGGCGCTGTCGTTGCGATTCTTGGCGAGGAAAGGATCCGGGCTAGGCGAAGGGTATGCACCCGTTGCGCCAGGCGTGTTAGTGGCGCTCTGCTCCTTCGCAAATCCGATCCTGACCGGGCCGCAGCCTGGAAAGATTTCCTTCCCATTGCATGCGATTTTCGCCGAGATGGCGCTTTGCAGGTTTTCGAAGTTCACGAATCCACAGCTCTTGTGGGTCAGAACTCTGGCAAATTCGATGGGGCCAAACTGGCTGAAAATGACATTGAGCGAGGAAACAGTCGTTGAAGACGGAATGTTGCCCAGCCATAATGAGCGTGTCGGTGACTCCAGGTTGCCAGAGTCGAGGCCGTTGTCGAATGAAGCCTGTTTGTTCAGATTCATGTTATGAACTGCGGCAGCAAGGTTGCCATATTCCGAGCCATCGTTGCTTTGTAGATCTGCAGCGGTGATGCTACTGTCCAAACGAGACGGAGTAGGCATGTAATTCCGGAGCACTCGGGATGATGGTGAGTCCAAGACGCCTGCAGTACGAGCTCTTGGCCTGTTGACACTTGCATAGTTTGCAAAGGCCTGCACCTCAATGTTGTGCTGGCGGACGGCTTCGTGTATGGCGGCTGCATGTGCAGCTGTCATTTCCGAATTCGGTGTCACTGTCCCATTGGCGTAGAGTTGTTGTTCCACTTGTTCGTAGTCGTCCAGCTCATCCTGGTCAATGTTGGCGTACTTCTCCTTTGCATTCACCGAGTAGGAGCGAAAGCGGCTCGCGGTGTTCTTGTTGTTGTATGCATTCAGCGCCGCCAAGTCAGCGATTGACACTCCATTCTGCCGCTGCTGGTTCAAGAGTATGTCCATATTGATCTGCGATAGGCTGCCCTGGTTGGGCGTGTCGACCAGACCGAGGTAGTCTAGTGTTCTCACGTCGCCATCCGCCGGAGACCCATTCGGCGATGATGGACCTTCGGAGGACCTTATGCTCTGAAGCGTGCTCGCTCTTTCTCGTCCCGCCAGCCAGCTACTTGCGAAGACAGAATTGCCAAAGGGACTGTTGCCCAAGAGGCCAGCACGCTGCGGAAGCGAGCCCGCCCTCAGTCGCGACAGGAGCGCTGCATTACTTGCTGGTGGTCCGCGAGAACTTGCACCCGCTGATGCCTGGGTCTCTTCGTGCATTGTAGAGCCATTGCCGTACGAAGACGACGAAGGTGATGCTTGGCTCGATTTTGTGACACCGGGAGATGACTGCGACCCATTCGGGGTCGACATGGCTGGGAATCGTGAAGGCACAGTGCCAGCGCGTGTACGGCGAATCGAGGACGACGTGGAGGCAGGATTCGGGGTGGCTTGACCGGCGTTGAAGTCAGGAAAGCTGTCACTGCTGGGCGATTCGGGAATAGTTTCTCGTAGAGGTGTAGAGTGGCCACTACCTGAAGTTGGTGGTCCCCAGATCTGCGGTGTCAGGCCTTCTTGCTGTTGTATCTCGCGGGCACTATGATTAAAAATTAGTCTGGTATTTTCCATACGATGAGCTAGCATTGATGACAACAGTCCATGATGATGATGAAGAAGAAGAGGAAGAAGAAGAGGAGGAGGAGGAGGAGGATGATGATGATGATGATTGTCCACTCACCGTTTCGGAAACAAGCGACTTCCAATGTATTCCTTTGATGGAGAGCCAGCTCCGGCACGTCCAGTTCCTGCCTGGCTGCCAGCTCCTCCTAGACCATTACCAAGTGGATAGCGGAGGCCTGACCCTGCAGGTGCCTCGATCGGTGAATTGGCCTGCGACGTACTCGCAGACCGCGATTGATGCATATTGAGTTGAGGCAGTCCCTCCAAGTTGAGTTTGTAGTCTGGGCGGTGCGAGGGAGCCATTATCAATTAAGGTATTGATAAGGTTCGACAAGGTTGTTTCGTGCCTGCGAGTCGAGTATTGATAAAATTTGCCTTGTCGAATTTACTCAAAGGAGTGTGATGTGGACAGTGCCACGGCCAATGTACAGAGAGTCGTGTAGGTGTGGGCGGTGCAGTGCAACGTCTGATTGCTGTCGAGGGGGAGTGAGGAGTGGGATGAGAGGAGGAGGAGGAGGATGAGCAGGAGAGCTGCACAGGTGGTGGTGGGGGTGGTGCGTGGTGCGCGGTGCGTGGTGGTGGTGGTAGGATGTGCGTAGTAGAGGTGGTGGTGGTGGTGGTGAAGTCCTGCTTGCTTGCTCGTTCTGCTTGCGTGCGCGCTTTGGTGGAGGTCCTGCCACAGGTAACCAGCACAGCACAGCTGCGTGTGGGCTTCGAATGCAGAACAAGCCCGTTGCTCCAATACAGCCTTTGCACTACCAACGTCTCTTTTCGTCTAATACGGCGCAGGTGGTATTATGGACAGGTAGACAAAGAGAGCGTTTCTGGGAGGCGGCTCCTCCGAACTCTCCCCTGTTTCAGCACTGCCCGCTACAGGTCGTACGAAGCCGGAAGTCGATGTGTCAGGCTGTGTCGGAGGGCGATTGAGCCGGTGACAAGACTCGACGGGTTTCAGTATCGAGTATGGAGCAATAGTTTTCCGAGGATAAGAGGGATCGCTGGCGGCTGATGAATATTAGGTCGTCCAGACGCTGGCAAATAGACAGGAACAGCTTTATGCTGAGCCTGGCGAAGGGTAGTCGTAGCAGTGGTTGTGGTAAAGAGGATTGACAGGACAACCTGCTGGCGTACGGCTAAGCAGACATTGAAGACCAGGAGCGAGGGTCGTAGTGAGAGGGAAGGGCAGCGTGGAGATGGGCGAGAATAAGGTGGTCGTGATGGGGTGTGGTGGTGGACTGGTCGTGGTGGTGTGGTAGTGGTGATGATGGAAGCGGCCCTCTCCGAGCCTTCAGGTTTCCAAGGAGAGCAGAAGCAGAGCAGATCGAGCTTGGCAGCCACTGAGCTTCTTTCCTTCTTGCAAGGCGTAGAACTAACCCGCTACATTTTACCTAAGGTATGTACCTGTAGAAACTACCTTGCCTGTATATAGGCTACTGCCGTGTCTGCACCTGTTTCAAGGCCACCTCACTACTACATACCTAGTACCTCCTGTGCCGCCCAGGTCTTCCAATCGCCCTCTTCCTTCTCCTGCTTTTCCCGTCCTCTCGTCCTCGTCCTCGTCCTCCCCCTCCTCCGTCTCTCTTCCACCCGAGCAACAATAATCCTCGTCCCATGCATGACCAGCAGACACAGCTGAGGCGCTTACGCTGACTCCACGAGATACCAACAACCCTTGCTCGCAGCAGAGACTTCCCGGCACGACTCCTGAACGTTGTTTCCCAGGGATAGACTCCCTCAAAACGAGAGGGTCTCAAGCCCGAAACCAAGTGTGCTGCTCGCGCTTCTCCACTATGATTGGCGCGAACGATGGCTGAAACATAGTTGCGGCAGTCAGCAAGGAAGATTACAGCCATACACCTGTCGCGGACTCGTGTGCGCGAGCTAAGACTACTATATCCGCGACGTCTAGGCGTTGTCGACAGTTATCGGCAGTCTCGAATGCGGTCCTTTTGACTCCTTTCCAGGCTATATACCCGATGAAACGAGAACGCCGAGAGCTGCAATGACTAGGACAAGGGAAAAGAATAGAGATGCACGACCAAACTTCATCGTATCGCCCCTTCATGCTGTAGATCTGATATAAATTGCTATCATTGCTGTTGTGAGGCCTTCCTACAAATGTGGCTCCGGCTGTGTGCCGTGGATGTTCTGTCTTTCCAATGGTCCCGTTGCTAAAAGAGTAAATGCATCACGAAGCCGAAGCTGAGCCTCTGGCTTTACGTACAAAGTTTACGGCGGCATCCGTGACCGAGCTCACGATCGGTATTCGACCTGGCGCTGAAGATGGAGATGCTTCCACCTCTTCGTCGTCTGCCTTATCTTCATCATAGTATACTGCAACGAGACGGGTCAGCCTCGTGGGTAAGATGTCACGGAAGAGACAAGGGATTCTTACCATGGGGTGTGATAAACCAGCTGACAATAAATGCCAGTCCAAATGTGGCACACAAACATACGAAAACTGCCTGATTGAACTTGCCCACAGTCGCTGCGAAGATGGCGCTGAACACTGCCGGTGCGACCACTCGAGCAAGCGAATGCAAGAGCCCGATTGCACCAAGCAGTTGTCCTGTGCGATCGATCGGAACGTGCTTGGTCAACGCTGACTGCAGAGTCGGCGATCCAATGCCACCAAAGGATGCTATTGCACCAGAGAGCGTGAAGACGGAACCGCTTCTTGCGAGAGTATAGCCAAGATAACCCAGGGCGTCAATGAAAATGGCCGCACGAATGATCGACAGGTCAAACAGATCTGCCCCGGTATTCTCAGTCTTCGCCCGATCCGGCCTTCCACGCACCAGTCGCGTCAATGCTGGCAGAACGAAGAGCAAGCAAACGACTCTCGTGCTATTCACAATCGACATGAACTTGCCCGCTTCAAAGCTCTGCCAGGAAAATTGAAGTCTCATATAGATAATCACAACAGCCATACTGCCCATGGCGACACCAAAGACAATAGTATCGACTGCAGCCAAAACCAGCAGATTTCGTCGGAGTGCCTTGCTGCTGCCAGGACCTTTGGGCCGCAAGATCTTCAGTGGCTCCAGGACATTGAGAGAGCGGAGTGTGTTGATCCAATCTCTATTCGGATCTTTCTCAGCTTGCATCGCTCGATGCTTCTCTTGTGCAAACATGCGTCTCTTCTCTGAGAGCGACTCGGGAACTACGAATCCTACGAAGAACATGAATGCCACGTGCACTGCGCCAAGGGCGTAGAAGACAGTGGCTATACTGCCCGTCAATTTGACAATGTAACCCGCGATGATCGGACCAATGGCGATACCTGTGAAGAGAGCCGCGTGAAAGTAGCCAAACGCGACGTTGCGCATGTTCGGCGGCGTGCAATCTGTGGCGTATGCGTTGGCAATCGACATGGCCACGATGAAGGAGCCAGTCAAGCCATCGAAGGCGTAGCTCAGCAGCAGCAACGGTACGGGAAAAGTGGCCGGGTAGGTAGCAGCAAAGATGGTGACGATTTCGCCGCATATTGTTCCTAGACTGGTAATGACGAGTACCGGCCGTCGTCCATATCGATCCGAGAGAGCGCCCAACTTGGGGGCTGTGAAGGCGGAGAGCAAGCCTCCGATGAGTCCTCCCCAGAGATTGAACATGGAGGTCCTCGCAGACACTTCGGGTATACCACATTGATCATTCGGAGCGGAGGGGTTATTGAAATCCACAGGAGCCATGGTGAATCCCGGAACCATACTCCGTTCTGCGATATACTCCCTGCAGATCAAATCCAGTATCAAATTCATCTTGGGCGCAATGATGCCTCCAAAAGCACAGGCCATGATGAAGAAAGGGCCGAGGACCCAGTAGATCGAAGGCCGTTTATGCCACGGCAAATGGTCAAACTCCATGCTCCCATGCCATGATGGCCGTCGGCTGTCCTCCTCTTGCCCATCTTCTGACAGTTGCCTCCCCGGCAGAAGCGAAGCGAATTCGTCCAGATCATCATGTGTTGCTGTTGCTCCGCCCTTTGTAGCATTCGACGCGATGTGTTGTTGTCCTCGGTGCCTTTGTGAACGCGCCCTCGCAGTCGCCTCCGCGTCTAGTTGAAGCTCGGCTTCGATGGCGGCCTCGCTGTTATCCATGGGTGTTGACGGGACAGGACCCTGCCCTCCGTCCCTGAGTTTGCGCCTTGCGCTCTATCAGATGCAATAGAATGGTCTCGTAGTGGGTGTGGAAGGCGCGCTGGAGAGGTGTGCGAGTGGTAGCGCGGGGGACAGATCCTTGGTAATGCTGCGGTCTATTGTATGCGTAGGTGCGTAGGTGTATACATGTGTGTACGGTACAGGATCGGGAACAATAAGGTACATGTAAGGCCAGGTAGAGGTACAGGTAGTCGATGATGGCTGGTGACGTTGCCTCTTATCGTGGTATGCAAACAAAAGGAAGAAGATGAGGAAGAAGAGGGTGATAAGAGAGCAACAGCGACAGCATGCTGAGGTCTTTCAATCAGGTCAGGTATACACAATGTGGCAGTGACATGTATTATGTAGGAGGTGGAGGTAATGCCCACTATCTTGGTCCGTTGGTCGTAGTCGGTTGGTCCACGGTCTCAAAGGGTCCGTTCCCAGATGGCTTGGGATTTTGGGTTGACTCCAGACCAACCCGAGCAACTTCTACCTCCAGGTACTAACTCCCTTGGGTACTACTACTGTACCTGGCATACCTCCTGGCAAAAAGCTAGAAATAACTCCGCAATCCCTCACCCCGTCACCCGTCAGCTCTCTTCCCTTGCGACTGGACCACGACTGATCTTCTCATCATTGTTTCAGACCACTCGCCCTGCTCGAACAACAACTGGCTTCGCGTGGGATGCACCACTTGCACTGCCCTTTCAACATCATCATCATCATCATCATCACTCGAATCTGCATCTGCATACTTTAGTACAGGTAAAGCAGGATTTACTGGAGCGGTTGGCGGGTCATGAAGTGAATGATGTCAATACTTCTCTCGTGGCGCACGGTTAGCGTGGCACTCTTTGTGCTCGGAATCTCTTTCCCGTGCGAGGACTCTACCTTACTGTACCTCCTACTGTCTGCCGCCCACTCGCCCACTTTCATCACGGGAGAAGTGTGGACATCCAACAACACCCACAAGCATCAGACATAGGATCACACTATGACTTGCCTATCTAGAAATCCGTACATGGGCTCCAAGTCTACGTGAGCCTGAGAAGTCTTTCCTGTAAGAAAGCACTTGATACCAGAGCATTATCAAAGACTCTCTCAGCTGTTCCTCCTGTTCCCTGCGGCCCTGTCCAGCAAACAGCTTGCTATCACAACTCTCTTTTTCACGTGGCGGCGGCGAAACTACGATTACCTACATCCTAGGTGGAACAGAGTTCAACAAAGCAACAAGTGAGCTGCTTGCAATGAACATGTGGCCTGACCGGGATATTGTCGATGATTGTAAAACCTAGAATCGTGAATGATTGTTATTCGTTCGCGGCAGTTTGATTTGTTACCTGTATTCCTGGAGCTTGTACCTGTACTGTAACCTGTCACTTGTACCTTACCGATGGCTATACCTTATCGATGGATGTACTGATGTACTGATGTACAAAATACCGCACGACTGATGATAAGTTGATAACTAGGTACCAGGTAAGGTAGGTAGGACTGATGATAAGCAGATTCCAGAACCATCGTGATGAGTGAGCGTGAGGCATAAGGTGATGCGCCCAGCAGCAGCAGCAGCAACAGTAACACAGCAGCGTTATTGTTCGCCTGATGTACTTACTGTACCCAGGGCTCTCCATGCATGCCATCAAAAGGGATCATATCGCGACGACTGGAAAACTTCCCAGCTACCTAGGTACATACCTCAGGTATCTGAGGCTATCTCCTGCTATGTCCCGTTAGAACTACCTACTTAGGTAGTACTTTAGATACCTTATCATGATACCTGCTTCTTGGCTCACATCTCATCATCTCCATATTATGCAGCAATCGCGACTTGTAGAACTACCTTACCTTACCTTACCTTACCCTACCAGGTACATGTACCTTACCTATGTACTGTATGTACTGTACGGGCGCACACTAGCTGTGAGAACCAGGGAGCGAGAATCGCGCACATGACAACGCAGTCAGTCATGAAAGAGTGATGAAAGAGGGAGGGAGAGAAACATTTCCATTCATTGATTCACTCATTCGACAAAAAAGTTTATTCCTTCCTACCTCTTTCATTCGACAAAAGTTTATTACTTCCTCCCTCTTCCCTTGACATTGAGGCTTTTCAATGGATCCAGTCCCTTTCCCTTTGCCAATCTTCCCCTGCCCTTGGCCTTGTTCGTGGCTCTGCGATTTCTGATACCATTTGCCTTGTCCCGTTTCATACCCACGTACCCCACGTCCTTTGCAACAGCTGCTTTTCCACCTTGCGGCAAAAGATAGTCGGGTACGTGCTTCAAATGGGCCTGCGCTCGTACCGCATGGCTTTCCGTGTCATGTCGCAGGTGCTTCAGATCCTCCGGGTTCTCTTCAAAGTGGCGCTTCAGCTTCTCCGATTTCACGAGTTCATTTCGAATTTCCTTTGTGCGAGCTTCTCGGACGGCGATACGGGTCACGGAGCGCAGCGCATCGACGAGTCTGTAGCGGAAGCCATCGAGCTTGGTCCAATCGATCCCCCATTCTTTTACTTCCGACCCCTGATCGGCTTGCTTCGCAACGATCTTGGCGAGCACTTCCTCGTCATGTTCACATTGCTCAATGCTGGTTGGCTTGTGTTTGCGGTAAAGACTCTTTGGTACGTAGAATGAGAGTGCCATGCCGGATTGGCCAGCACGAGCCGTCCGTCCGATACGATGTGTGTACGACTTGTTGTTGGTGGGCAGGTCAAAGTTCAGTACGCATGTGACATGGCGGAAGTCAATGCCACGGGAAACACCATATTCACGGTCTTTCCGCGACCTTCGTTGCTTCTTGACTGGTCGTGTGTTGGAACTGTTTTCGGTGGTGACCGGCTCAGTCTCTGCCTCAGCCCCATCTGGCTCAACCTCATCCTCGTCTTCATCTTCTTCTGCAACTCTTTCAGACTCTTTGCTTTTCTTGCCATCTTCATTACCCACTACTTCGCTCTCATCCGCTGCGATGATGATGTCGTACACCCCTTTGTTGAACTCCTCTACCACATGTAGTCTGCTGTTGACAGGCAACTCTGCGTTCAGTACGCAACTTCTAATGCCGAACTGCTCCAGAAAGAGCTTGACCCGGTAGCCTCGGTCAATGTCCGCGACAAACACAATGACTTTGCCCTTGATTAACTGTAACTTGAAGATGGCGTAGATGAGCAAGAATTTCTCGTCCTCTGCCGTTCTTACGGTGTATTGGGCCAGCGTTGCTTTCTCTTTGGCCTCTTCCTGGCTCAAATCCAGTATCTCAGGCTTGGAGTCCTCGGCGAAAAACAATGCTGTGAGCGTATCGACCTCTGTCCTCAGAGTCGCAGACATCATCAGCTTCTGCACACCTTCAGGAAGAAGATTGGCCAATGCACGCAGATCATCTTCGCCATCGTAGCTCAGAACCAGATCGGCCTCGTCGATGATCAAATGCTTCAGGCCTTCCAGCTTCATCGTCTCACTATTCACCCACTGTATGGCTCTTGCGGGTGTAGCGACCACGATATCTGGCAGCTCTGCCAGCCGGGCCCTGGTCACGCTCGGGTCTTCCTTTCTCGTAATGTTCTCGCATTTGACCTCAGCAGCGCAGAAAGTTGTCACCTCTTTCACGGAGTTCGTCACCTGAGTCGCCAGCTCTTTCGTGGGCACCAGGATGAGCGCAGTGGTTGATTTCACCTTTTTCGTTCCTGATTTGCGCTGGAGGATGGCGTGGACGGTGGGGAGGAGGTACGCCAGGGTCTTGCCAGATCCTGTCTTTGCGCGTGCGAGGACATCCTTACTGGCGAGAGCGAGCGGGATGGTCTTTGACTGCACGAGCGTGGGCGCACTGAACTTTTGCTTGTGGACGGACTGCAAGAGACGAGCGTCGAGATTCAGGTTGGCGAAGGTGGCTTTCGGCGGCGCCGATGCTTTCGACTCGTCGTTACTGCTGGGGCCTGTAGTGGTCGTCGGCTCCGGAACGTCATGTTCATTCAATTTGCGCTTCATTGTTGCTGTCGGATGAACGAATTATGCAGTGGTATGGTGTTGGATCACAATGGAAAGTCTGCTTGTGCATATTCACACTGAAAAAGTGATCGGTCGGCGGACATGGCGCAACCTCCGATGCCGATGTCCGCTCGCTTTGAACTCTTCTCAGGCTCTCAGGCACTCAAGCACCTCGTCGGCTACAACACCCGAGGGTGATGTAGTCTGCCAATATTAATGGTATTGGTCTACATGTACTTTTACTGAATATCGGAATGGAATTCGTGCTACTCGTTGTTACCTTACAACATAGTCGTTGGTACAATATAGTTCGACTGGATCCAAAACAAGTCAACCCCTCTTCACCAGAGCGACAGGCCCATCGAACTGGTGTCGACCCTGCAATGCATATGTGACCATGGCAAACATCATGACAAGCACAAAGATCACAGGTGCCCAATTGAACGATGCCGCATCAACTGGCGTGCTGTTTGGCCAGAAAGTCCAGAAACATGCGAACGTTGAATAGCACATTGCAACCACATTGATGGGCAAGCCGAGCTTGCCCAAGGACCATCGCGCCTGGGGCAGTGAGGTTGGGTCGCGCAGTCGTTTCCAGACCATACAGGTAATGCAGATGGCGTACGAAGCCATCAGCGCGGACAGCTGGAGTGACAAGATCGCATTGAAGGCCGCGTTCGAGCCCAGATTGATGAGCGAGAGCAAGATGGTGATGACGAGTGTGATGCAGGTGGCATTGACGGGAATGTGCACTCTGCTGTCCATGCGAGAGATCCAAGTCGAACAGGGCAGTCCTCGGTCTCGCGCCAGACTCCAGGCTTGCCGCGCGCATGATGCGGTGAATGACACGTTACCGACCATCAACGTCCAGACGGTCAGCACTGTCAAGATATTGGTGCCGATATTCGTGTCAGGCATGGCCAGCTTGAAGATGTAGAAGAAGGGATAGCCGGTGGGGTCATTCAACGCATCCGTGACGGATGGAATGGCGAACAATACGGAAATCAGAAACACTAAGCCGGTCGAGCCGTTGATGTAGAAGGTCCACATCATGGAGCGCGGCACCGAGAGGCCTGCATCACTCACTTCCTCCGACATGTGGGCTGCCGCATCCGAACAGCCCAGCGCGGCAATGGCGCTGATCTGCCCTACCATCAAGCTCAGGCCTGTCGTTGGCCATCCTCCCGAATTCTGGAAGTCCATAAGCACATCATAGGCGGGAGGATGGGGCGCGAGAACCCATAACACCACAACGACCGCGACAAAGCCGGTAAGGTGCACCACCATGGTGATATTGTTGAGGATGGGGAGAAAGCGAGTGAAGAAGATATTGAAGATCCCAGAGACTAGGACCACGCCCAGGACGCACATTGTGCTCTGCCAATTCGGAGCTGCGTACTCTGGATAGTTGACCATCGCTAGACTTTGGATGATGGTGCCCGCGAGGAAGAAGCCGGAGGCATTCCCCGCTTGGTATGACATGGTCGACAGCCAGCCCGTGGTGTAGCTGAGGAATTTCTGGTACTTTTCTGGCCCAAACTCCGAAACCCAGTGATATTGTCCTCCGCTTGTGGGAGCCTATATGGCATGTCAGTTCAACTGCGCAGGCTCGTGTTCGGAACAGGGGTGAGATGTCACCTACCATGCTGGCCATCTCTGCCATGCTCGCAATGACCATTCCGAAGCCGCACAGCGTCCAAAGGTAGCTCCAGAATAAACCAGCTCTCCCGCCATCGACCAATCCTTGGGTATTTGCCGTCAACAAGAATTCCCAAGAAGCCATGATCACCGTGGTGAGCGACAAGATTGAGAATTGTCGGAACACTCTGCGCATCTCTTGTCGCTTTCCCATACGGCTCATATCCCGAACGTCGAAGGATGTCATTCTCCCAGGATCGGACAGGTCCGTCGCGAGGTCGTCCAACTCGTCCAGCTCCGCCTGAATCTCCTTTGGCCCCTTTGAGCCCCCAGGAGATACCTCCGACAACTCTCGCACATCATGTCGACTGTTCTTTCGAGATGTATATTTCGACACTGGCATTGCCATGATTGAAGTCGAATGCGTATTGGCGTGCATGCCCCTGTCCTGCTGTTCGAACATGTTGTTCATGGTGGGCAATCTGTCTCTTCCACTTCTTCTGCTATCTCTGCTTCTGGTCGCCCTCTTCTGGCTTTGGGACTGCCCTCAGAGGTTAGGGGGTTGACGCTGACTTTTATTCAAGGCTCCCATCACGCCTGCGCGGCAAAGCTGAAGACGCTGTGCATCAAGGGGACGAGAACGTCGAAAACAGTGGTAAGACCAATGACCATCAGGTCTTGCATTTGCATCGCGTGAAGTAGTAGATCATGGAATACTCCACATCGCGAAGCGCTGTATTCGCCTTGCAGCCACTCAAAGAACAATGAGTGGGTAATACATCCAGTATAGCGGGTGTTGTCTATTACGCTAGAATACTTGCCATGAGACCTGCGGTTGCGGATGCTGGCACATCTATCAGGTGCACGAAACCGAGCAGGGAGTTGGCACATAGTGCTACGATTATGATTCTTCTGTGCAGCAGCCCGCTGTCGATGGCTCGATCGGAAATTCGATGCATGCAGTGTGTGCGAGCCGAACATCTGGTATGTGACACAAGCCTGCCGTACAACAACGTCTGTGCTACGCTCGAAAGGGGAGATAATATTGTTCAACAGTCGTTTCCATGGGCTCAAGAGGAACAATCGTTGGCTTTCGACGACTACAAACAAGTCTTACGAGAAGTCTGCCTCGTCTTATGTATGGTCTGAAGCCAGGAAACCTGCGTGCAACGCAAGTATTGTTCGTTCTGATTCCCCCCTGTACTAGTTTCGGAAAAGGACGCGGTGACTTGCATACCAGTACTATCTACGAAACGCGCTGAGAAGCCACGCTGTGGTTGCCAAGCCGTGCGGCATAGAACTATGTCGATGGAACTTGGAAGTACTGCGCGTGAGAACCTGAGCTGCGCGGAAAATGAAAGCCCGCAATATTAGGAAGTCAACCCTCCATCATCGCTTGCCTGGGCTGTGAGCAGAGCACAAGGCAGTCTAGATTCGGTGCAGCAAATGAAGGGTGATCCTTATCGACCGATGGGTCGTCAAGCAGTCTTATCACCCTCCATGTTGCTGCACCTGTCGCAGGCTGGAATGAGACCGAATTTTTAATCTTGTTGAGGCACGAAGCTCATAAGAAGCTGCTACCTATTGTTCGCAAAGCCCGCAATCACTCCACAGGCTTGTTTGAGAAGCCGTGTTAAGCCACAGCCGCCGGCTGTGCACCATCAATCTCCTGCAAGTATGAATCCACTCCAGTATAGCACCCAAATGCGGACGAGGCAATGCCAACGCGAGCTATACATCGAGTCTTGCGTTCAGTACACACTTTCGCCGTCAACAATAAGAATCTATGCTTTCCCATTGTCAGTCATCGCAGGCTCCGAGACTTCACAGACTTGCATTCAGAAGCAGAACTGCCTGAATGGCTGATTCTGTCAGCCATGGGAGTGACGTGTTGCCACAATGGCCGGATGGCACTCGTTACTTGACCCAGATCACCAAGACCGATCACGCAGGTTGGCTTTGGATTATCACCCTGCTGTCGTTCGTCTACGTTGTCTCAACATTCGTTATACGATTCGTGGTGAAATATGGTATGCTAGCGCGCAAGCTTTATGGGAATAGGATGAGCACGAGGCTAACATATCATTAGGAATGTATGGCCAGGATGACTGGGCTTTGTTGGCGTCGACTGTAGCCGCTGTTGGCCAATACACCGCACTGCTTGCTGCACTGAGTAACGGCTTGGGCAAGAGCTTCATACTACTGTCCACCGACCAGATCAGTATCATCGAAAAGGTACCTATGCAACAAGCACCATATAGGTCATTGAACTGAGCGACTGACTGAATCGCAAGTACACTACTGCATCTACCGTCTTGTACATACTGGCACATTCTTTATCGAAGGTCTCGACAGCTCTCCTCACCCAGCGATTGTTCGAAAAGGGACGGAAACGAAGCTCAGTGGTACTCTCCTGGCTACTGGTCTGCATATCAGCATTGTACGGGCTGATTGGCATACTTGCTGCACTCATCACTTGTTCAAGTCCAGCTTTTCCACATCCCGGAAGCATCTCATGTCCCAATCGTGTAAGTGATTGCTATGTACATCACGACTTGAAGCCAGAATGCTGATTGCCACACGTAGCCTGCCAGATGGCAGATCATACTCACCCTGGACATGGTCTCGGAGGTCCTACTTGTCATCGTTCCACTGGTTCTGGTACTGAAGGTCTTGATTGAAAGATCAGCGAAGATCACAGTCACGACAATCTTCGCATTCAGATTGATGGATGTTGTGTTTGCCGCACTAAATTTAAGTCAAATCAGCATGTTCCGAGATGGCAAGGGCTACGGCGCTGACCTTGTGCTACCCTTCATCTGGACCGAGACCGAGCTGTTCTGGTCTATCGTCTCAGCCTCGCTGCCATGTCTGAAGACATTTATGCGGCCGTTTGATAAAGTCGACGAGGAGACGTGGCGATCTGGTCAAGGCTATTCGTCCACGACATCTGGTGCTAGCTGGGGAGCAAGACAGAATTCCGGTCGCAGGAGTTCAATCCCACTCAAGGAAATCAAGCTTCGTCAAGACAGTACTATCGGAAGCACTCTTGGGACCATTCCTGACTCTGTGCTCATATCCGAAGAAGCTTTCCACGCTTCATCGCTGGGTTCAGGACAAGAGGCTGCGAGGCAAAGCTGGGCATCACAGGATCATGTTACTCCTGCATCAGGACAACGAGCCAGTACAGCGAATATTATTGATGAGATTACCCATTGCTGAGATACATACCAAGAGCACGGGCGAATCCCGAACCAGATATGCTCACAAAGACCCTATTGCCTTGCAATCGTTTGCTGGCTCTCAGACACAAAATTACATCAGAGCCGCTCCACCGGATCATCACCCATGCGTGAGTGGATACTTTAAACATATAGACAGGTAAATATCACTCACCATAATAGCAAACAGAAGTCTAAACCACCACTCTTACACTCAAGCTGTCGCAAGTCTTTACTAACATATCAGCAACGCAAATTATATCACTGACACCGTACCCTCATACGACTGACGACCCCCAAGAGACCGTGCTTCAATGTACACACGAAGATTGTCGATGTCGAGGGCGAGTGAAGGGCTTGATAGTGCCGCCGCTGCCTGGACGCCAAGATTCACAGGCGCGCTAAGGCGCATTATTCACTTGCGGTGCAGCACAGGACAGTGAAAACACCTTCACTATTGTTGCTAACACAATATGCCTAATCTAGCACCACTCAGGATCAACCTCTTGCTTGCTTCGACACTCTCCGCCGAATCTTCATGCGGCGGCCTCACCAAGGCACATCAATTGGCAAAGCTTGACAGAGCTAGTTCCGTCTCTGCCTTTACACGCAGCGCAGACCGCATTCGCAATCCATCATGTTCCTGCACGCTTTGACTGCGTCGGAACGCGATCGCAATTTCCGCGTCTACAGCGACAGAATGAGGTTCCACGTCAATGTCCCGACATCGTTCGCACAGAAGCTGGAATCAAGGATGAATACACATCGTAGCAAAAGGAAGGAAAACACAATTCCCGTGGACATACAGACCCTAGCAATGCTCCGAAAGACCTGTAGTCTGAAGAAGAAATTGCAGCACGTAATCTTTGAAAGCGAAGCTCTTTCCAAGCAACTCGAGATCACCACGGCTCTCCTCAAGTGGGAGGTGCAACTAGAGACCTTCAACTCAGAATCGGCACAAGGCGCACTGTGGAACATGTGTGCAGTAGTGAATTCATTGAAGAACCAAAATCGTATCGATCAGGCAGAGATATGTCGCCTCCATGAGGAGCTTGATAAGGAAGAGCAGAGGTCTTCCGCCGTCCTTCTCGCCAGTCAAAGCCAGTACCACGCTTTCCATGTCAGAACCAGCAGGCATGAGCAAGAACTGGCCAATTTGGAGCAGAAGTTGAATGATGAAATCAGTAATACTCACGACCAAGCAGACAAGCATGCGGCAGATTGCGCTCTATTGACACGCGAAATAGCTCTCGCTCGAGAGCGAGAGACTGTCAACCAAAGTTCCATCCTCGATGCCAGAGCCAAAATCAATTCACTCCAACAAGCCTTGACCGAGGAAACTTTACAGCGAGAACAATACCAGGAATCTCAAATCACGATGAAGAAAACACTAGACGAGAAAATGAAGCACATCGACGTTCTCACGCACCAAACCACAAACCAGTCCATTCAATTGGCAGAATCTACATCGAAGGAGAATGAGCAGCAGCGAAAACTCGCTGAAGCAGAGAAAAATGTTGGACTTCTCACTCAGCGTTGCAGTAATTTAGAATTTACCATTACTGCGAACGCCATGAGCTGCATGGGCTCCGAAGATGACTTGATTCAACTTGAAGAAGAAGTCAAAATTGCAAAGAGGGACAGGGATGTTGCTCTCAGTCGGTTGGATAGTGTAATTGCGCACGAGAGGAGAAGCCCGATTGCTGTGATGCTTGAAATTATCTCTGAGATGGAATACGTTTTGCGTGAGAAGACTGAACAGGCAATGCACTTTCACTCTGATCTACGCCGGGCGGCTTCTATTCGTACGTGGGGCGAGGCGGTCGATGGAGGCTGGGAGGCTCGGTTGAGTGCGTTGAAAACGCGGGTTATGGGGGAGAAACAAAGGGGGTTGCAAGACCGATTTGATGATGGTGATCAAGCGGGAGTGGTGGAGAATGGAACGTATGGCGAGGGTAAGAGCTTTGAGATGGTGGTTCGATAGGTAGCTACCTGAACACCGGCGGGATCGGCTATAGGTTTGCAGCGAGAATTTAGACGGGCGGCGCACTTGTATCTTTCTTGCCGGATGGAGAAGGGGGGTTGGGCCTGTCTGGAAGCAGACGCTAGAGCCTGGCCTGCGGCATAGATGTATAGAAAAGTATGCGATGCATCACTCAACGCGGCTCCCCCTTCGTGCTTGCTTTTCCTTCTCCTGGGTAAGTTTCATTACTGCATCGACGACCCTGTCCATTCTTCACCATCTGCGAAGGCTTGGAATGTTTATGGAAGCATGGCTTACATACATATCAACAAGTATGAGATCATTTTTGTTTGGTCTGTTTTGTTTGGAGATTGACTGGAATTTACGTACCTATAATAGCACATTCGTCCTGAAGTCGATGCTCTGCTTGACATGTTTGTAACGATAGCTAGCGACACAAGAGACACAAAGAGAAACGGAACGGGATAGGTATCAAAGCTCCCTTTGTATGATCAGCACCCGGAAAACTCATGTGCGATTCTTCTACTGCGACTGCTATTCTGCACTAGCTCCGCGAGACACTCAAGCCTTTCAGGAAATCCTCGACAGCATTCTTCTCGTCAATCGCCGTCAGCGCGTCCAACGACTCTTGCGTACTGACACCTTCACTAGGCCCTGGCGTGGGAAAGCTGGCCTGCGCGGCATCTGCCTGGTCAGGGAAAAATGCATCACAGCCGATAGTGTCGAGGTATTGTCTGCATCTGAGCACCTTCTTGCCATCCTCGGTGAGGTCGATCAGCCACATGACTTCCATGACGACCTTTTCGTATGGCGAGCCCAACAATTCTCCTGCGTTCTGGAGTTCGAGCTGATACCATAGCCAAGCTTTACGCTTCTTGGGATCAACCGAGCTGTCCAGGAGACGCTTGTTAGAATCAATGGAGAATTTATCCAGCTCGGATTTGTAGTAATTCTTGTAGGTGGTGTTTTCGAGGTGAACAAGCGAAGTATCGAGTGGAATCTCTTGCTGTAGTGGACCATACGTGGTCTCAAAGCCCGGAGCGAGATACTTTTCGTGGCTTTCCTCACCAATAGATGACACGAACGCCAAAGCAGTCTTTTCGATCGTGGTATAGAGGTCTTGCATGTTGGCGAGGTCTGAGCAAAGCAGGACTAGGAGAATCTGGGAACCATGGTGTGTAGAAGAAGGAGCCACGGAAGTCATGCACATGAAGCATATTGATACATTCTTCCGGAAGTCCCTTTGTGCGAGGAAGATTGCTATAAACGAGCCATGGGCAGATCGACCAAATGGTTGTCTTCGGTAGTGATGCACTAGTAATATGCAACGGCGCTACCTCCGTAGAGCCTGCATCGTCCAACTGATGTGGGTCAGCAGTAATGTGATGCAGGTGAGGCAGGGTGTCGCGTCGATTACATGAAGTGGAGGCTGTGGAGCTATACCGTTCGCGCTAGTGGTAACCTACTTCATGGTCCCGTCTCCCTTCCTACTACGGCCTGACATCTTACATTCCACTTCCAATACGTGCATCACGATACTTCCAATACGTGCATCGCGACGACGCTATCTGCTGTCGCACATCCGTATTCCATAGCGAGACTATATCAACGACCACGCGATGCCTGCGGGAGGTGCGAATAATTCGAGCTGCGTATCTGTCGTTTCCATATCCTAACACATCGCAGACCTACCACCAGGCACGCCTCTCGCGCCGAGTGTCGAGAAGGCCTACTACCGCAAATGTATTCAGCTCAAGCGCCGCCTGAACGAGATCGAATCTGCGAACGATGACTTGAAGATGCGTCGACTGCGTCTCGATCGATCGATTATGAAGATGCGGCTGGAGCGAGCATTTCTGCTGGACGAGTTACGGAAGCGAACAGACCACAACATTGACGGTAGTGACGGCAGCGGTGATGATGGCATGGCGACACCTCCACCGGACAGACCATACCGCGACAAGAGACGTCGTCAACAATCTAGCTCACACGGACAGGCAGGGCCTTCGCAGAGTACCTTTCAGCACGTCCAGTATGCACCACCTAGTACGAACGGCCCTTCCGAGTCACGCGCATCCTCGTCAATGCCGATGGTGTACGGACCAAGCGGGCAAGCGGTGTCAACCAATGCTGTGCTACAGGACGGCAGTCACGCCTTCGTACAACAACAACCTCCGCAAAACAGCCAGACGCCGGCGCTCCCGCATACCTCACCTTACGGCCCGCCGCCCACCGGCATCCCAGGCAGCAGTCGAGCCAATGGGGACGGGCCACACAGAAAGAGGGAAGAAGGGGCGCGAGACATGGAAGAGGATACAGAGAAAACAGCAGAACCAGAGCGTAGTCGTGGTGCCGGCGGTTTCCAGGCGATCAATGACTAGCATGCTGGATGGTCTCAGACTGCACACACCATGGACGAAGGACAGAGCATTTTGCATTGGGACGGTTTATCGTGGACCAGGACCGGAAAATCCATGAATCCTGGTCACACAAACCATCCCGACTGATACGAAATGATGCTTGAGCCGATATTACAGCGTCACAGCCCGCGAAGCTCAAAAGACTGTTCCCAGTTGCAATCGATATCATAACTAGCGAGCACACGGAGACACGCACATCTTGAGATTCGGAGCTCGCGATAGGAACTAATTTGGTATTATATGGGTACTGTGTCATTCCTGTGGAACGAGCTGTGGGCCGAACTGGAGAGGGGAAGAAAGGAAGAAGCTTAATAGCCAATGTGGCATTCCTCGAGGCGTAATGTAGACGCCTACACACTTGACTGTCGCAGTGCTCTTACGCGCGAGAGCGATTCACGTGTGTGGAGTCTCTGTGCCAGTGTATGATTACCAGTATCACCACTGCTTGGGGCCTCCTGGGTGAGTATAATCCAAGAGTATTCAGTCGTACGGACTTGTGTTCATCGAACTCCATCTCTCCAGAGAGTTGTCATTTGCCCCCCTCTCACTCTATACACCTCTGATAACGTACACAAATCTTCTCAAAGAAGTCATCGATTGATACCTGTCATACCTGTCATACCTGTCAACCTGTATCTTCAACATTAGAATTTGAGATGCTCATATATGACTAAGCATGTTTGGATCTCACCCAGGAGCGGGCAGGTGCGGGCCAGCCCAGCACAAGGTATACCTTAATTGACTGTGCACGACTAGGATCTTGCGGTACAGCGTGCAATTGACGCAATCTGAGCACATCACCGTCATAGATCTAGTACATGTATATTACCTTAACCTATACCACCAGATCAACATTGCCCACACGTTGCACGAGTTATCTACATTAGACCATCTCTCATTGCTTCCTCCTTTTTCCTTTGTGAATTAGGCATCATGGCAAACTTTCCTACTGACTCGGCATAAAGCGGCATAATGGTGTAATGGGCGTTATCGACTAGCTCGCATTCTGCATCTGCACGTTTTGAACGGTAGAGTATATACTAGAACCAAGGGGCCAGTCCTTGTGAAGTTCTCTAGGGAACTTAACTGGCAAACGCGCCTGGAGCGTACGACCATGCCAGAACGGCGATTTCGGCCGGGTTGATACCTATCAGGGTAGCATGTCACGATGAACGAGTCGGGCTTTTTCAGCACAGCCAGCGGCTCATTTCACTCCGCCTCACGACCTCCCTCACGAGCATGGAGCGAATCGACCGAACGACCCGAATCAGCCCACTCGAATGCATTGGTAGGCGGAACGAGGAGCATCAGCCATGAAATCGATCATATCAAGAAGTTGGTGATACGTGCCGAGAGTAACCGGCAACATGCTTCGGGAAGCATCACCGCAGTGGTGTTTAGGAACAAGAAACAGGAGCCTGTTGGGCGAGAACAGATATTTCATGAATTAGATGGGCTGAAAAGGAGGATCAAACTTGAGCTATCGCAGGCTGTGGACAGAGCAAAAGAGCAGCAGGCAAATGTATTGGCGAGGAGGGCAAGCCAGATTGATCCGGGCCAAGAGAGTGAGAGTGAGGTAGAGAGTGTGCTTGATGAGAGGGACGAAGAGCTTGAGAAAGCACATGAAGCTTTACAGGTGCAGAGAGGGCAATTCGAGAGTCTGTTGGAAAGCGCAGAGGAACGTGTCGACTTATTGACAGGACGGAATGAAGGGTTGCTTCTGGAGTACAAGCATCTGGAGGCTGAGCTGAAGCAGGAAAAGGCAGGGCACGCAAGTGCGCTACAGAGTGCGGAAGAACGATTGGACCGATTGACAGAGCAGAAGGAGATTGCTGAAGCGAGGACGAATCGTGTCGTTGAGGAGAGGGATCTGCTGAAGCGCGAGCTGGAGGATCTTGCGACCGAGACGGGCAAGTTGGAAGCTCAGGTGGTGCGTGAGAAGGAGAGAGTGAAGGGCGAGCTGGGAGACACAAAGGTACAGTTGACGAGAGCGACGAAAGAGAAGTCTGCCCTGGAGAGCGAGCTCCAAGCGACACGGAAATGGGTGGAAGAGCTGAACACGAAGATTGAAGATGGGGCAAAAGCGTTGGTGGCAAAGTCGAAAGCCTTTGACGATTTACGCGTTGAAAAGGGGAGTACAGATGTGGCGCATCGATCAGCCCAAGAAGAAATCCTGCGACTACATGCCTTGAACTCAGCGGTGGAGAGTGCTCTGAAGGAGTCCAATGTGAAGGTGGCCAAATTGGAGCGCGAGCATCAAGATGTCGCAGACCGACTGGAGATGGTGAAACTGGAACACGGACATCAGACTCGAAACCATGAACGAAGCGTCCGTGAGCTGCACAGCAAACATGAAACAGCAACGAAACATGCAGTTGAGCTGGGCCGAAAGCACAAAGCCGCCGAGCAGACTATTGGTGAACTCAAGTCTACGCACGCAGCCGAAATGGACCGTATTCAGGCCGAAGAAGCCAATAAGATCAAAGAAGTAGAAGCGCAGCACTCTCATGAGAAGGCAGAGCTACAGGCTGCGCATGGCGAGGAGCTGGCCAGTGTCAAAGCTGACGCTGCAGCGAAGCTCGCTCAGGAGGAGCAGCGACGGGCTGATGATCTTGAGAAGCTTAAATCCGACCACCGCGCCGCAATCGACAATCTTCGACAGGAACACGCCACTTCGCTAGCTGTATTGGAAGAAGGCCAACAGGCTGCGCTACAGAAAGTGAGAAGCGAGCATGTCGAAAAGCTGGATGCTGCTAATACCGAAGCACGGGAGGTAGCTCGCGTGACTGCAGAGCAACATGCCAGAGAGCTGCAGAACCACGAGGCTGAGCTTCAAACGTTGCGCGAAGAGCAGCAGGCAGCTATCGATGGGCTAGAGTCTGCGCACTCTCAGGCTGTTGAGGCTGCCGAGAAAGAACGGCAAGCAGCTGAGAAGTGCCATCAGGAGGCGCTCGAAAAGCTCGAGGCTCAGGTAACCAAACTCGAGAAATGCAATTCTGCCATGGGAGTGACGCACGAAAATCAGATCAAGGACCTGAAAACGGCACATGGCGTTGCACTTCGTGCTGTACAATCACGATATGCCGGAAAGATTGACGAGCTGCAACAAGATCACCAAGGAAAGATGGACACAGCATTGGAGAAGTGGCAGCGCGAAGCTTCTGAATCAGCTTCCAATTTCGAGAGCAAGATTGAAGCGCTGCAGGCTACTCACGCGTCCCGCTGTGCGGGTCTCGTCGCAGAACTCGACAAACTAAAGCAAGAAGCCGAGGCGAAAGATGTCGAGCATACAGGCGCAATCGCGGAGCTGCAAACCAAGCATACATTAGCATGCGAGCGAGAAGTGGCTGATCATAAGAAGAACCTTGAACACGAACAGAAACTGACAGCTAAGGCTTCTGAGGAGCTTGCAACTGCGAGGGTTGAGCACACTGACGCTATCAAAAAGCTGCGAGCGGAGCATGATGCTACGGTTGCTGCGCAGAATTCTGCACATGATGATGTGCTCACAGCTCTACGTGATACACATTCTTCGGAGCTTTCCAGCCTCCGGAGCACAGTTGCTCAACTACAAGCGGACATGGCATCGTTGGAGGGTGAGCACGAAAGGGTTAGGCGAAATATGCGTGAAGAACATCAGTCTTCTATCGAAAGAACTACCCTGGAGCACGCCCAAGTCTATGAGCGTTTAGCTGCAGAGCATGAACAAGAACTTCGTGACTTGGAGGCCAAGCACAATGAAGAAATGGCCAATATTCGCGGGGAGCTTGAATGCTCCATTTCTGAATCCAAGGGCGCAGCTGCGGGATACGAAGATGCCGCAACAAAGTTGCATGCGGAGCATACGGAGGAACTTGCCCTGCTTCGTTCTCGCCATGACGCAGAATCGCAGATTGCGAACGAAGCTCTAGAAGACCTGAAAGGTAAACTGGCAGAGGGGCTCGCTCAGCAAGAGAAGCTAGTTGCAGACAAGGAAAGTGAAGTCCGACGTGTGCGCCTGGAACACGACGCGATTGTTGAAAGCCTCAAGGCCGAGCACGAGGGACAACTAGCATCACTGCGAGACCTCGGCGGCAAGACCGAGCATGAGCGAGAACAAGAGCATCGGGCTGAGCTGATGCAGGCTCGTGGGACGGCCAAAGCGGAGTTGGATAAGGCTCGTGCTGAGCACGCTATTGCACTCGCAGCGGTGGAGTTTGCCCAAAGAGAGTCTGTGTATCAGATGCAAGCGACCCATGATCAGCAGCTCAAGATATTATCAGAGCAGCACCAGAATCGTCTTGACGACTTGCGGATGACCATGACCCAACGGCAGGCTAAGCGTGAAGACGACTTTGAAGCAAGTAAAAAGGCTGCAGCAGAAGAGCTCGACAGGTTGCGCCAGGAGCATGCTAGGATGTTGGAAGCTGCAAGATCAGAAGGTGAATCTATGCTTGAAGCAAAATTGGCAGAAGCAGCTGCGAAGACTGATGTCCTTACATCTCGTCACGATCGATCTCTTTCGGATGCACAACATGAGCTGGACCATATCCGTCGTGAGCATGAGCAAGCGCTCGCGAGCGTCAAGCGCACTCTCGAGGGAGAACTTGATGCCACCAAGACCATGCACCAAAGGTCGATAGACGAGCTTAAGGGCCAACTTCAGTCACAGCTGGATGAGGCCAAGGTAACCCACACCAGAGAGGTAGCAGAGCACGATCAAGCATGGATGGCAAAAATGAACGAGCTCAAGGAAGAGCATGCAAAGTCTTTGGCCGAGCTGATGTCCAACAGTGATATGACCACAGCGTCGAAGCTCAAAGAAGTGGAACAGCTCCATACCGACAAGACAGCCATGGCAGTCGAGGACGCACGGCGCGAGGCCCAAAATCGAGCCGCAACGGTCGAGGCCGAGCATAAGGCTGCACTGGAAGCTGCAGTGCAAAAGGCACGCTCGAGCAGTCATGCTGAAGTGAGGAATTTGAAGAAGCGTCACCAGGATGCTATGTCGTATATCCGAGAAACTGCTCAGACTACGTCCGCGTTTCAGCTTTCGGAGCTTGAGCGCACGCACCGGAAGGATGTAGAGCATGCGCTCGAAAGGGCCAAGCAAGCTGCCGAAGTAGAGCGCAAAGAACTGGTAGCTGCACACCAAGAGGCGCTGAACGAGAGTCGATCCCGTGCATTGGAGGCGCAGCAGGCAGAGGTCATGCGTCTGACAACGGAGCATCAGGCCCAACTTGCCAACCTGGAGGCACGCCTGCAGACGGGCAATGCCACTCAAGTTTCCGTCCGACAAGCAGCGTATGATGCCGAAATTGCGGCTCTTCAAGCCAGACTAGATGCGACGATGACTGGTCAGGCCGAGGCAGAGCGTTCTCTTGCTTCACTTCGGCAGCAAGTTGTGAACGCCGACAAACGCATTGCTGACGCTAAAGCGGAGTCGGACGGACATGTCACGGCTCTTGCGAACGAGAAGGACGATTTGACATCACAATTAGTACAAGTCCAGACTTCACTGCGAGAGCTACAGCAGAAGACCTCGGGAGGCTCCAGTAACCGTAGAGCATCGACTGTTGCCATTCGCGAAGAAAACTCAAGTCTTCATGCACAAGTCTCTGTGCTGGAGGCAGAACGTTCGACGATGCGATCTCTGCTCGATAAGCGGCAAGAAGAAAAGAACGAGGTGTCAAGGCAGAACGATTTCCTGGTGAAGGAACTTGAAATGCTGCTGCAACAGCGAGCTCGGCCAAGAGACGGGTCACGCAGCTCTGCTGACGCTATTGTGCAGACTGATGCCAATATCGTGGAGTGGAAAGCCCATGCGGCTACGTTTGCTCCAATCCAAGCTGCTCGCCGTAACATGAACGGCTCACGGCCCATGACACCTGCTAGTCCCGGCGTTCGACAGGCTCGAGAAGATGTCGAGATGGCGTGGAAGTCGAGATCTTTCGAGGACTACCTCGACAACGCTCGCGCCGAGCTCTCTGAACTTGGAAGTGTGATCAGTGCCAATGAGGCATTATTCGCTCGCAAGATCAATGAGCATGTTGGCGAGCTGCAACGCGCAAAGGACCAGCTTGCGGCAGAGTATAATTTCAGGGTCGAGGCGCTTGCCAAGGACAGAGATACGATGGAGCAGTTGATCACGTCTGAGCAGCACGCACAGTTTGTGAAAGAACGTAAGAAACTTGTTGCAAAGTTTGGAGCGAGCTCAGATGATCTGACGGAACGTTCTCTGATGCTGACGACACTACCTGTGGATACAGCTGTTGCGTTGCGAACCGCAGAGCGAAAGCTCGTGGATGACTACAATCAGCGTATCACCAAACGCAAGTCGCAGATCGCTCTGAAGCATGCCCAAGAGTTCCAGACAATCACGCAAGACTATGATCGCAGCGTCTCAGTTCTGCTCAACAAAAAAAGAATTCGACTTGATGGCGACCTTCCGGATGAACCTTTCCAATTTGAAGATGAGTATGGAGACGTTGCCGACAGTTCTGCGCAACGTGTTCTAGATCGCAGGAGTAACATCAAAACGCCTCGATCGGCAAGGAAAGGGAGCGTCAGTTCGCAGGAGATGCCACGCGGTGCAGATAGCTGGGCAGATCAGGAAGCACCTCGCACTCCGGCTACTCCAGACCAGTTCTTTGAGGTCGACCGCACGCGGTCCAGCGTGCGTTCACGTACAAGTAATCCGCGTAACGAGCGATCGATTCCTCGATCTGCTTCACGACCAAGAGGTGATATCGACAGCCCAGATGCGACCGCACATCCATATACAAGGAGGGCTCGCCCTGGCTCCAGCAGCAGCAGCCAGCTGCCCCCAACTCCTCAGCTCTATCATAGTCGCAAGAGGGAAGCAGCGGATTTCTCTGCATCGAACGGGGCCATCTCGGAGACTTTTTCAGAGACACCCATGCCACGCACGCCACGAGGCAGGCGGTGGAACAGAGCCAAACCTGTTGATATGTCGTCTCAAACCCCTCCTTTCGAACCTGACAGTAGTTTTGGATCACAACAAGCTGCGTTTGCAGACATGCGAGTGGTCTCGCTCCAGGCCAAATCCCCCAGTATACTGCGCCGACTGAGAGACAAGATCTCGTTAGATGGCCATGCGAAGTCCGATGCCGTGCGACCTGGAAGCTCATCGGGCCGGCCTACTTCAGCTGGATCCATACTATCCAAGAGCTCCGTATTAGGTTGGCGGCCCTCGCATTCGAAACGCTCCAAGAGCAGACATTTTTCGAGTGGCATGATATACTACAAGGATCCCGCGAAGAGTCCGCCTACGCCAGGACCATACGAATAGTGAGACGACGACGACGACGACAGACCATTACACATGGTGCCACCTGCGACAGCAGATCGAGATTCCCATCTCAGCTTTCATATTGCATGTTGATATTGTTGACTTGCGTTCGTTCCCTGCTTTGTAGCTTGCGACATTTTATCGAATTCCCCTTTTTTTTCGCTTACGCCCCTTTGCAAATAGATAAAAACCACAATTGTTATGTGCACTCACGCTTGAAATCTGATCAACATAGCGATCTCGCAGTTCCCTCCCTTTTCCCCCTTTCGTTTCCCTCTCCTCCTCTCCTCCTTCTTTTTCCTTCCTCTCATAGCTTAGAGCTGCGACCTCTACCGTAGAAAGAAAAGTCGTCAGAAATATTTCCCAAAGGAAATCTTTTCTCTCCTAAAGAAGATGATGATGATATCTTACAAGAGAGATTGGAGACATGGAAAGTGTCTCGTCCTCGGTCCTCTTTGTTAGGTACATGTAACTTACGGAAGCACCGCAATACATTCAATCTCCACATCTGTTCCCAAGGGAAGCTGTTTGGCTGCCACGCATGTCCTGCAGGGTTTGTTTTCGCCCCAGTAGGTGGTGTAGACCTGGTTTTTTTTTCTTATCATTAGAGAGAGAGAGAGAGAAGAAAAAAGGGCAGGGGGGTTGGAGATGTTTATCCCTTTTCCTTACCTCGTTCATAGCAGCGAAATTTGCCATGTCGTCGATAAAGACGTTTACTTTGACGACATTGTTGATATTGGTTCCAGCAGCTTCGAGAACTGCTGTGAGATTCTTGATGGCTTGATGCTGTTTTTTTTTTTCCGCCATAGGTCAGTGTGATGAAAATCTTCCATGATGATGATGATGATGACCTAGGAGGTACATACCGTGCGATCTCCAATGGTGCCTTCGATGAGTTTGCCGGAGGTGTCGATGCCGATGCTTCCTGAGCAGTAGACGGTGCCATTGGCGACTACGGCTTGACTGTAGATGCCGGGAAGAGGCTTGGGAGCATTCTCGGTGAGGATGATTTTCTTGTTGGCAGACATGTTGATGCTGGTTGGTTGATGGATAATGAGAGGGGTGGAATGGGGTGGTAGGCACTGTATACTGTCTGTCTACCTGTATGACTGATCGTTAGAGTCAGTGGAGAAGATGTTGATGCAATAATAATAATAACAGAATACCTCAGCCTGTACCTGGTAACTTAGGCTGAATAGCTTGCCCGGTGATAAGCACGGCCGGCGAGCAGATAAGACTCGGTCACGTGGATGGGAGTGTTGAGCTTACTTAAGCATTCATGTGACTGGCGGGAATGTCTAGTGAGGTGTTGCCTAGTTGGGTAAGGGTTGAGTGTGCAACGACCGAGAGGAACGACACTTCCAGTCTTCCCTCGGACTGCATGGCATGGCATGGATGGCATCATTGGCTTTCGTAGAGCGAAGAGAATAGAAGCACCAGCCATCCAAAAATGCAACCCTTCCGCCGCCGTCGCCGCCCGCCAATGTTGCCATGTCCACTGACATGACCTGGTGCACTCGCAACACTCCCGTCCTTAAGTAAGAGCAAGCACTGCATTCACTCGTCATTTAGGCTTCAGAGTGCGCGCGCCTGTCACTTCCTCCGTCACCCGACACTACATGCCCACTTAAAAAGTCCCATCGGGACAACAGTCCCACACACAACCCCAGACCCAGAACCAACATCATGGCCAAGAAGAAAAAGGCCGCATCGCCCTCCCCCACCGCGAAGGTGACAACGACGACGAAGAAGAAGAGGGCGTTGCGCAGTAACACTGTCATCCCGACTGTAGTCGCCTCGCCGCCCACCAAGAGGAAGCAGACTACCAAGCCCAGGTATCTATGTGACACTTGTGGTGTTGTGAAGACCGGCAGGTCGTTTCCGGACTACAATCCTTCTGCAGAGTGCGAACATCTGATCCACACCTGCCGTGTATGCCTCCGGAGGTGGATCGATGTCTGTATCAGCAATCACAATTACAGAATAGTCGACAATGAAGCGGGAGCCTCTACTTTCGCCATCAGATGTCCAGAGAGGTTCCAAGGTGAGCCTTGCCCTGCCATGATGAGGCCTGTCAACGTGAAGGCCGCGACTACCAAAGCATCCTATGAAAAATTTGCTCGGCTGGCTCGGCGTCATATCGAAGAAAACATACCAGGCTGGCGGTGGTGTCTTGCTCCGGCCTGCGACGGCGGCCAAGTCCACACAAAGGACAATGCGGATGTGCAGCCACTCGTGGAATCGCCAAAGGAGAAGGACGAGGACGAGGACGAGGAGAAGAGGAAGAAGAAGAAGAAGAGGGCCGGCGGCAAGCGAGGTAAGAAGGTGGCCGCTGCTTCTACCGACGCCGCTGTTCCAACAGAAAAAGGTAGGACCCACCATACTGCTGTCCGCTATGCACACACGCGGCAGCTTTGCGGCTCAACGCAACTCTTGCGGTCCTCCTGCTGATAACAATACAGAAGAATCGAAAGATATCCCTGACATCTTCACGTGCAACCTGTGCGGCGCAAAAGCCTGCGTCACATGCGACTTGCCGTATCACGAGGGCGAGACCTGTAAAGAGTTTCAGCAGCGCACGCAAAACTCCAGCAATGAAGCTTCTCTGCTTCTGATAGCAACTGCCTGCAAGAAGTGCCCAAAGTGCGCGTTTAGCATCGAGAAGAATGGCGGCTGTGACACTATGTTTTGTGAGTCAAAGAATAGAGAAGCTTACTCCATCCAAGATTGGAACTTGTGCTAATCTCGGTGACACAGGCACTCACTGCCTCTCGCCATTCTGCTGGCGTTGTATGCAGGTATTCAAGCAGGGCAACTACTGCAGATGCAACTCGCATCCCGCCGGCGTGCCCTTGTGATAGTTCTCTGGAGCTATCGTCCCAGACGAACTTCAAGACGCACCCGGGCGACTTGTTTTTGATGACGATATAGCACCAGCCTTGATCACGCGAAGACTTTGAGCAGCACTTTGCGATGCATGATGAGAGCAGGACGGTATTCTCCTCCGCGCTACTGAGCGTCATACAATCAGACAACTGGCCGGTGACCTTATGGATTGGAAATTGCTCTTGTGCACTAGTACTGCAGGAAGTACTACTAGTTGGTCGGGGACTCGGAGGTCTCTGGTCATTACTCGGAGGTATCTTGGAAGGTGGATTCTGTTCATAACTCGCTCAGAACTCGGAAACCCATTGCCGACATGCCCGAAATCGTTCGTTTCTCGTTGTTTGTAGTCGTCTGCAGTCACGGTACACTGGGACAACGGGCCTATGGTCTGAATATGATGGCACATAGCGAAGCATATTGAACAAGACTGTGAATGTAGATGAAGGCGGAAGTTGACCAGACAACTGTTAAGATGATCCCCGGGTAAGGGGGGCAATATTCATGAAGCTCAGATCCGAAGACGCGCCGCCCCGAGGGTCGAATGTGGAGAAAGATGGTCGCAAAAGGCGGGGATACATGTTGGTTAGGAGGGACTTCGGCTAACCGACAAGCCCACGCACGACATCACGATACCTCTTTGGAGTAATTGAAGCCTTGAAGGCCAAGCATCGAGGTAAGGAAGAGCACGGCGAGTCTCGCTATTCATACTCTACAAACTACATAACCTACTCACTACTGTCCCTCGACCGAGCCGGCTTCCCCTGCTATCTTACTGTCCCCGTCAATAATCTCGACATTCCTAGAAGGTACCTTACCTACCTACTACCTAGGTAAAGGTTGAATTCAAAAGCACATATACCCATCAGCCTTCCCATATACCCGACCTCCCTTGAGAGCACACCCGAGACCAGCTTACATCACTAACAATTCGTGCGGCCTCGAACAATCGCCCGCCTACCTCCTACGTTCAGCGCAACAGTGTCGTCCACGCCATTCCATCATGCCTTTCCAATCTCCCTCATGGGTGCCGGCATTGCCAGAGATCCCCGATTCCATTTCGGTGGAGCGCTTCATGTTTGACGAGAACTATGGCCGATTTCCACTGGGCTACTCGAAGCCGCCCTTCGTCTGCGCCCTCAGTGGCAAGTCGTACCCTGCGCTAGAAGTGAAAGAGCGTGTCGATTACCTCGCTCGAGCATTGTGTAAAGAGTTTGGCTTCAAACCGAACGAAGGGTCAGAATGGGATAAGGTCATTGCCTGCTTCAGTCTAAATACCGTCGACTACCTCACCCTGGCCTGGGCTGTACACCGAATAGGAGGAGTCTTGACTGCTGTCAATGCAGCATACAACGCGCGCGAGCTGGAGTACCAGATGAAGGACTCTGGAGCCAAGGCCATCTTCACATGCTTGCCGCTTCTTCAGACGGCCAAGGATGGGGTCCAGAAGTCGAAGATTCCGAACGACAGGATATATCTCTTGCCTGTGCCAGATGCGATCACTGGAGGGGCGAAGAATCCTGGACACAAGACGATTGAAGACCTCATTCAAGCAGGCAAGAGGCTCGATAGAATTACACCCACCGATGAGAGTTGGTCCAAGGGACATGCCAAGGAACGATGTGCGTTCCTATGTTACAGTAGTGGTACATCGGGCTTGCCCAAAGGAGTCATGATCTCGCACTATAATGTCATCGCCAACACGATTCAGATGAATACCCACGACAAGCTCGATCGAGAGGCGATGAAAAAGCAGACGGAAGACACCCATTACACCGAGAACTGCCTTGGTCTGCTGCCCATGTCTCATATCTACGGGTTGATTGTCATCTGCCACGTGGGAATCTGGAGGGGTGACGGCGTGGTGGTACTACCCAAGTACGACTTCAAGTGGTTGCTCACGGCAATACAAGAACACAAGATCCGCATGTTGTACCTCGTGCCTCCCATGATCATTCACATGACCAAGGCCAAGGACACATTGAAACAATTTGATCTGTCGAGCGTGCGTGCGTGCTTCACCGGCGCGGCTCCTCTCGGAAAGGAAACTGCGGACGATCTGGCTCAGATTTACCCCGACTGGAAGATTTGTCAAGGATATGGCCTCACCGAGACATCCACGGTAGTATGTGCCACCACCACCTCCGACATCTGGCTCGGTAGCTGTGGATCGCTTCTTCCCGGCATTACAGCGCGACTCGTGACGGTCGAAGGCAATGAGATTACGGGACACGACCAACCTGGCGAGCTTTGGGTGAAATCTCCCGCGGTCGTACTTGGATATCTGAACAAGCCACAAGCCAACAAAGAGACCTTCATCGACGAGCCCGATGGAAGATATATGCGCACGGGAGACGAAGCCGTCATTTCCAAATCCCCCTCCGGCCACGAACACGTCTTCATTGTCGATCGCATCAAGGAACTCATCAAAGTCAAAGGCCATCAAGTCGCCCCTGCGGAATTGGAAGCACATCTCCTCACTCATCCTTCGGTCAATGACTGTGTAGTGATTGGCATCCCCTCCGATCGCGAAGGCGAAGTTCCCAAGGCGTTTGTGGTCAAGCATCCCGGTGAGAAGGCAGATGATGCGACGTTGCGGAAATCCATCACCAAGTACGTCGAGGATCACAAGACCAGGTACAAGTGGCTCGCAGGCGGGCTGGAATTTATCGATGTGGTGCCCAAGTCGCCTTCGGGAAAAATTCTTCGGCGCTTGATGCGAGATCAGGAACGGGCGAAGATGAAGAAGGAAGGTGCGAAGCTGTGAGCGTGTCTTTCTCGCGTCCTCCGTCCATCTTGAGGAGAGGGGGAAAGCAACATGTGTAGCAAGCAATCCTGTCGTGAGTTTATTGTGTAAGGTATTGTCATTATTACCGCGTCTGGATTCGCGCTTGTTTGTCTTTCCATCCAGATATTCGAGCGATATGTATGTAATCTCCTGTAAAGAAAATACCTTGTGCAAAGAAATATCTAGACTCTCTCTCTCTCTCTCTCTCTCTCTCTCTCTCTCTCTCTCTGTAGATCTCGTCCTCTTTTTCTTTCTCTCCAACCATGCACTTACTGTTTGATCGATCGATCGATCGATCGAATTGCACGCACTCGCCAATAAGTGAGGTAAGGTACATGTCGTACAGTACATCCATATCTCGTATAGATATATCCTTTCAATACAGGTACAAGAGAAAAGAAAAAGAAAAGATCCTATCGTAGTTGTAAGAAGAAGAAGAAGAAGGAGCATCGCAGTATCGAATCAAAAAAGAAAAAAACAGAACCTCGCTGATTAAAATAGTATATAAGGTAGATATATATATTACAAGTCTTTGTTTTCGATACTATATACCTACATGTACTATATCTACAATATTAGGAAAAAATATTGTATATATATATATATACGTTTACAGTTATAAGATATCTGGTAGGATAAGGTCCTATAGATTCAAGTCAAGTCAGATAAGGTAAGGGATTCTTTGCTATTGCTATTGCGATATAAGATTTCTTCTTTTTCTAATGATTATTCTGCAAGACCGTTGGTGCCTTGAGTAGTTGTTATAGGAAAGGGGAGAGAGTGTGTGTGAGAGAGAGGGTGTGTGTGTGTGTGCAACGTACATAGGCGAAATGAAAGCCAGCCGGAGATGGGGAGATGGTATACCTAGGTATAGTATGCAATCTACAGTCCTACTCATATATCATCAAGCCGTTCCCGTGCCTTCTCCAAGTCAAGTCCTCCTATAGAGCCTTTTTCTTTCTTCTTTTCCGAAGAAGAAGACGAAAATGAAGAAGAAGCGGCATCGTGTTTTTCCGTTTATTAATTCCCATTCCAATATATATTTGATTACATCGCACACAGACAACTCTTTCCTGTCGCATAGGCCCCAAGGGGACGCGTAAAGGTACCCATACCGTATGCATGGTACTGGTAAAGAGAAAGTTGTAACCTCTCCCACAAATAGTTTCTTTCGTGTTCGGAGAAAGGACTGGAATCGTGCTTGGTATTACACAAAGTCACAACCTACCATACGGATCCTTGTAGCCCATGAATGAAGATGGGTTGGCTCGTGAAGTCGGCAGACTGCGGCCGAGAGGCCGAATGGGCAGGATAAGACGAAAGAGGACGAAGAAGACGAAGAGAAGGAAGAAGAACAAGACGGAAGAATGGAAGAAGGAAGAACAAGGCTCTGATTCATCCGGACGCTTGAACAGGATAGGAAAGCACATGAGAAAAGAGTCAGTCGTATTCGTGGTATTAGGACACCTTTGGACACCCTACCTCATTGTCTCGCCTTGATTAGTCGTGCAACGTGTCGGTTGTCTATGTGAGCGCCTGACTCGGTGTGCTTCTCAACTTCTCATTTGCTCTCACTTCCGCACCATGACACACAGACACACACAAACGTTAGTAGCAATAAACGAAGGCTTGACTCGTCATCATTGCGCGCGAGACCACATGTGCGATATGATGGTGACCAACCTGAAATGAATAATAATAATAATACTAATCATGGCTTGCCCTCATGGCTTGCCCTGTTTTGTTCTTCGCCTGCGTGAAAACCGCCACCACCACCACCACCACAACCAGCACCACCACCGCTGGACCACATTCCTTTGAAGTAGCGATATATACACTAATTATTAATAACTTCCAGCGGTGGTCGACAATCCTATAGCAATCGATATGGCTGAATTTCCAAGTGCACCCGATCAGACCATCTCTCCGGTGACGCCAACGAGTGTGAAGAGGAAGACGTGGAGATATGCCCCAGAGGACGCGGCCAAATTATTAGTGATGCGCCCAGAGAAGCCACGCCAGGATTCAGCAATTGGCCTTTGCGGTGGTCAGATTCCATCACCGATCGCCGCACTCAGCAAGGACCACAGATGGTCAACTATCTCCGAGCCGGAAGAGAGTCAACACAGCTCGCGGATTTCGACTGCGAGTGCGGACCAGCAAGACTCGCACATCTTGAAAGGAAGTCACGACGACGAAAATCATCACGAGTTCGAGAGCCACACCGATAGTTCTACCACGAGCTCCTGCCGCAAGGATGTACCAATGCCCGTCGATGTCACTAGCCTGTTCACGGTGCATCCCGACGACCTGGATTTTGACTTCGACCAATTCGATTTTCCAACTGGGCCGAGATTATCGAGGCCGTTCTTCATGCCAACCCCAGTACTCAACAAGAAGCGGGGATCAGCGTTGATCAGTCGACGTTCGGTGGCATCAGTCGAGCTCAGCCTCAAGACTCGAAGGAGAACGCAGGACTCCGATACTCTGTCACCAACCTGCCTTTCACCAGGCGAGCTGCAGCGCCTGTACGTAGAATGTATACCACAGCGCTCGTCATTCCGCGGAGACCAAGCACAGCCCGCGATGCCGGCCATCATACTACCGACGACGCCAGTCGATAAGTTGCATCCACATCAGCACAAGTCTGGCTTACCACACAGTCCCCAGCAGGGCAAGGACCGCGTTCCGTCCATACTGCGGCAGGATTCAAAGTCTAGCTTGCAGCATCAGTGTTCCAACTTGAGCATGGGCCAAGCTGGTCTTGCGGAACGTGTAGACGATGCCAATCAGATGTTGGCCGAGTCGAAAGAAAGGTTGTATCGTGCCAAGAAGGATCTCTACATCAGAGAAGAGCATTGTCGCGAGATCGAGGTCCGCGCAACAAACATGAAGTATGGCATGGAAGAAGCAATGCGAAAGTATACCGCCACGTCCAAGGAGCTCACGAGCCTCAAAACTTTCAAATGGGAATGCTCGTTGTCGATACCAGCTCAAGTCCTGTCCATGCGTCAGCGTAAGATTCACGGTGAGTTGAAGATACAGATTCGGGATCTCGAAAGAAATCTCAACGCTACCATGGGCGACCTGCGCTCCAAGGAGAGGAAGTGGAAAGAAGCTCAAATCGCACTGGCCACATGCACTCAAGATCTTGAGAAGCAGAAGTCGATCGTGGATGACAAGAGCGAAAAGATGCGGATAGCCGGGGAGGCCAAGACGCGCTTGACCGAGATGCTCGAGAGGGCTAAGCAGGAACAATCAAGTCGGCAAGAGCAGAGCGTGCGCGAAGAAGGAGCAGTTGCGCCGCAGGATACGAATGATCCCGAAGCGGAGCTGGTCGCAGTAAACAAGAAGGCACATCGATTGAGCCAACATCTCATCAGCGAGGTCGAAGCGGAGTGCGAGGAAAGTCGGTCGAAGATCCAGCGCATGAAGCGCGCCAGTGTCACGCCTGATAGCATCCTGCAGGAAGAGCTCATGATGGCCAAACGTGAGCTCCGCGAGCGGGAGGAGTTGCTGGGTGTTGTAAAGCGCACAAATGCAGATCTTGCACGAAAGATTGCCGACATGGAGCACAAGCTCGGCGGACGAAAGCACTGGAGTGGCAGCGGAGCGCTGAGCTGAGTGTGTAGGTGGTAGGCGAAGTCAGAAAGAAGCCGACCACGGGAATGGAAAGGCCTGGCAGGCATGGTCCCTCGGCCGACTAATCGGACTCCACAAGCAGTACTCTTGCAGACATCATACCTTACCTTACCTGTTAGTATCGTAGGGGCCAGGCCCTTTGCCTTATACAGTAGTCGCCTGTTATTTCGTATGTAGACGTCGATCATTCTATCGGCTCCGGCAAAAGCCATCACAACCGAAGCTCTCTCGGCTCTGCCGACCCTGCAGAATGTGCCATTGGATTGGCGATTAGGCGGTGTCAGTGAACACGTTCGCAGACCCATCCTGTGCATGTCGTGTCGTCTTGTGCGATGCTCGCGCACCCTCGACGTGTTCATTCGCCCAAGTGGCCCAATGGGCGCCAGCCGGGCACAGGTTTGAAATCGCGCAGCGACATGCCAGCCCAGCCTTGTGCATGTCTGCTTCGATGCTCGGGAGTCAGCACGAGTCGGAGCTGAGGTGGCTCAGTAGGTACATGTAGTGGTCTAGCTCGGCTGAACCTGAGGTACCTATTCCTGATGATTGACTTCTGGTACAGCTCGCTGGATCCTGGAATGGCCATAATCTATCGGTACCTTGGCCTTGACTGGGGCTGAGAGATGTCCGAGCAGAGCCCCTTTCGCTGCTCCAGCATCGTCAGCGTCAGAGTCAGCGTGGGCGTGGGCATCAGCACATGAAAGTCAGCGCGCCACGTGGACGCGACGCGACCAGGTGCTCTTGCCGTGGCCAGCTCATTCCAGCGGTCAGTCCGTCAGTGTTGAGGCGGTTGAGCAGGCAGGCGTGCATGGTTGATGGTTCCTGGCCAAGTGGATCCAGTGGAGTCGGCAGGTACAGTTGATTGTATGTATAATGTACCTTACTGTGGGTGATGTTGATATCCATGATTGCCGTGCCGATGAGCAGAAGCTGCCCGAGCACGTGATATCAGGCAGCAACCACTCTATGGACGGCCGACAGTATCCTCGGCAACACATGATAATCACATGATATCGACAAGTCGGCAGTCAGCAGGCAGCGGACAGCGAGCAGTGGGCAGTTGCCAGTCGTGACGAGAAGAAGCAGAGTCAGAGAATTCAGGTTCGGGGCGTGCAGGGAAGGTGTGCCAGCGGAATCTGGGATCCTCAGGAACCCGTGCCGGGGAAGGCGCGGCTCCTGCTGCACATCCCTGCTCTGACATACAGTAGTCTACTGTTCCCGGGCCTGACCTGAGTCTCATGCTGAGTTGGCAGACGCGTCCATGGGCTGCCACTGCCACTACCACTCGCACTCGCACTCCCACTCCCACTCGCACTCCCACCACCATCACCACCAACACCCGCTGCGCCGCCCTCCACCACCTTCATGACAGCGGCCCCTCGCCCGCCGTGCCATGTCTTCGCCGCCCATTGCGATCGACGAGTTCTCTGTCTCGCCGCCAGTCGCAGCCTCAACACTCTCAGCACCCAAATCACCGCCGCTAGCCTTTGCGCCAACCTCCAACGACGCTCTAGCACCACGAAGCGTCCTGCCTCATACAGGTGACGGTGGTCTGCCGTCGACGACTTCCAACATGGGCCGCCTGAGTCTCTCAGAAAGCCCGTTTGCGTTGCAGGCCATCATCGACAAACAGTCGGAGGCGCTCAGGCAGTTGCACAAAGGCTTCAATGCAGAACGAGAGTCGTGGGACCTGGAGCGACAACGCTTCTTCGAGCGCATACATAGTCTGGAGCAGCTACTGAGGAATGGCGAGCATCATAGGTGAGCTGCGCGCTTGACGTAGTGCTGCCCCGCGACAGTGCCTGACAGTTCGTGTAGTCCGGCGAAGTCGCCAGTCCTTACGCCTCCCGGTGCCAGTGAGCTCCATTCGCCGCAACCACGATCGATGCATCCAACGATGAGCCTACCTACCATCGTAGAAGACGAAAATATCCAGCCACTTGCTGCACGAAGAGAAGGTGCTCCTCACTCCATAATGCTACCACGTGAAGTCAACTCGCTTGGAGATGAACCACACGACAGAACCACCTCTGCAGTCTCTTTCATGAATGCGGAAGGGCTGCGAGTCGAGGAAATTCCAAATCCGCCACGCTCGGCCGGCCTGTCTCCGCCTCCCCCAGTGAACCGTATGCTTGCAGGACACACGCCGATCAAGGCACCGAGAAGGCCCACGCCACCACCAGAGCGCAGTCTGTCTATGGATGGCATTGAGGACACGCCCACCCGTTACAACACCCAAGTCAACGCATATTACTTGACATTGAGTGACGAAGAAGAAGATGTGCCATTGAAGGGTCCTCTGAATATGCCGGAATTGCCGCATAATCCTGGTGAGAGCAATTTCACACTAGAAGCTTTCGCTCAGCGGCTCCAAGAAATACACGACAATCCCACTGAAGAGAAGAGCAAGCCATTGGTCTATGCGAAGCCCAGCCCTGGGCTGGCCTCACCCGCGGATCGATCAAACACGACCATGAGCCCTTCACAGCGACACAGGATCCTTCAAGATCCACTATCCCCCGCAAATACTCGTGCTTTGGACTCGCATGCAATTCAGTCTCCGGACTCGAATCTTGGCTCGACTCTCAGTCCTTCCATGTCGAACACAAAATCGCCAGACTTGGCAGGCGCACTCTCTCCCCAAGAACAGCACGAGGCCAAGATCCATCAAGAATTCCAAGAGGGCGGAATTCGGCTCAAGAAGAAAACTTCGACCAACTTTGGAGCTCCTTTCGGCTCCATGGCGGCATTTCCCATGCGAAAATTGTCGTAGGAAAAGACATCATCTACTGACCAAATACAAGGAGGCAGTCGCGCAGTTTGCCGACGATCCCGATCCATTCGTTACAATTTACTACTTGTTATGGAGAGACGCTTCCTAGTGAAGACTTCCTAGTGAAGGCAAAAGGCGCAATCGGGGCACAGAGAGACAGCATAGATCAAGGCGCAGATTGGAAAGCGGCGGGACCGCGAAAGGAAAGATACCCTCACAGGCCAGAGAGCCTTGCGTTTACTTGATAGATAGAATGAAGCGGCACTACAAGCGCTCAGGAAAAAGCAGCAAAACGATAGTGCCGAAGAGTGCCTGACTGACTGTACAGAAACTTTCAGATACAGCTCGAATGAATGTGCGCCCTCCTTATCACTTCCTAAAGGGAAGAGGAATGCACTTTGACAGCTTCCCGCTCCTTGCTTCACCTCCACTCCTTGCCCGCCACCATCCTATATGCAGGAGGGGGCATTCGTGACTGATGTTTCAAATGTTCAGCTGAGCGACACCACCTTGTCGACAGGACGACATATAGTACTGCAGTCCTGCACTCTTTTCGACATCTTGTTTGCAGATTCGGGCTGGACCACTCACCTCTCTCCATCTCCCTCTGGTCACGTTCGCCTCACAGACTAGGAAGCAAGCAGGCAGGCAAGCAAAACCAAAAAAATGCGTCTCTCAACGACCACAACAAGAACAAGAATCTTAGCCCTTCCTCTTCTTCTCTTTCTTCTTCTCGTGGTGGCGGTGGCGGTAACAAACGCAACGCCCCTTCCACCATCACCATCACCACCACCTTCGGATTTCAGTGAAATTGAAGCTCGATGGGCGGTGGGACAGACAGAGGTAAGTACATGTTACATGTTACATGTAGTTCGTTTTACAGAACAACAACAACAGAGAATCAGAACGACAAGAGCAGCAGAGAAATACACATACACACACATACACACACATATACACAGCTCTCCCACCCTCTCCGTCTTTTCATCATCCTCACATCAACCAACCAACCCACTTGCCTTAGTAGCATGTACTATGTACCATGTACCTAAATCTCTCTGACCGCTATCGCAGCAAGAAATCCACTCCGGCCAGAGTCTTCGAGAGAGTAAAACTCCCGCATGGCCTGTTACTCGTCTCGCTGGAAGAAGAAGAGGAGGAGAAGAAGCTTCGGGGTTTGCGACGGCGATGGATTCTCGGAGTTTGGCTGGTGCTGAGAAGACGAGGAGGAGATGGTTGAGCAGGAGCGGGAGCAGGAGGGGGCAAGAAGAAGGTGGTGTTGGGGTTGCGAGAGATGATGATGTTTCGGTGTTGAGGCCGAGGAAGGAAATGAGGTATTATTTTACGGGGAAGAGTGGATGATGAGGGGAGGAGAGGGGAAGAGGAGGAGGCAAGGAAAAGTGATTGCAAAGATGAAGAGTCGCGCCACATGTGCGTAAATGATGGATGATAAATGATCTACACGAGAAGAGTAAATGAGTAATGATCCAGACAGACCGTGGTTTCTCGCGTTTGTTGGAACAGTGTTGCATCGATGGGTAAAAATAAGAAGAAGAAAGAAAAAGAAGAAAACGATTCGAATGTCGCGCGCTAACTCCTCCGTGACCCTAGGTAGGACAACTTTCTTTTAGCATGTGCTGCTGAGTACAAAAAAAAGCAAAGACCCCGAGCATGTGATTTCTGCCGCACTCACCCCATGAACGCCTTAAAAGCAGGCTCATCAATTCAATCGATTGGTACAAAAACAGAACCCCATCAAGTGCATTCAGACAGTCCAGCATGATAGTCACCCCGACTAGCCTTCTCCGCCCTCGAGAAGATGCCGCGCAAAGATTCCAGCTGCTTGTTCACATGTGAAATCTCCGCGAGACGTCGCGACAGAAGAGCTCCACGCTCCTCGTCCAATTGCGAAATCTCGTCCATGCGTTTCTTGTTGGCGCTCATCTGCGCATAGTTCTTGTCCAGTTGACTCTGTAGTGCTTGGAGCTTCTCAAAGTTCTCCGGGAGACTGCTATTGGTGGTGCTGGTGGAGCTGTGTGGCGAAGAAGGGGAGCGCTCCATCCGGTCGTGATTGGAGGAGTAGCTTTCGCTGGTGGCTTTGCTGTTCACGCTGAGCTCCGAGTCGCGCTATCAGAAAAGGTATTGTCAGGTGTCAGGGGAGCAATTTTCTTTTCTTTTCTTTTGTTGTCGTTGTCGTTGTTGTTGTATGTTTACAGTAGAAACAAAGAAAAACAAAGAATACAAAAACGAAACAATGCAAGAACGCTTACACGAAGGATTCCAAGTTCTCCATTTCGTCTCCTCTGCGCGCGGGCAAGCCATGCTGCCGTGGCGGTCATTGCGGAGATCGGGGACAGGTTGCTGCCCCGTCGTCGACGCTCTTCACAAGCGCACAGCCAGATGTGGCGGTCGAGTCGGCCTACGCTGCATTTCGCAGCGGCAGCAAGGGAAGAACCAAGATTCCAGAGTCGTCTGGCAGGCGCGGAAAGCTGGCAAGTGCAGATATGGCAGGACAGCGAGAGAGGTATAAGAGAGGAGATATAGTTATATCGGGTCCCCGAGAGTGCGCGGCCGCTGGCTGGAGCAAGTTTTTCCCCTTGGTCTTCCAGCACCTTTCTCCGCTAGGTGCTCTTCGTGTGTCCGATGTGAGGAAAGCAAAGATGCCTGTTATTTCCGAAAAGTCAAAGTAGGGAAGTGCGTGTAGCGCTGGGCCGCTGGCAGATGAGAAGTCGCAATGTCTTATTTCAAGTCATGTTTCGGAGAGGGGATGGACGATGATGATGATGATGATGATGAGGAGGACGTGTCCGTTCTATAGATCGTGCGTTCATTCGGATCGTGCATGACAGCAGGCTTTAGTAGTACCTCCTAGAACCGGTCCCCTTTCAATCGTGCCTTCGTGTTCTCAATGCAATGATGCGTCGCCGCTAGAAGCAAGTCAAACGTCGACGACAACGGGTTATTACCTAGCTCCTAGCTTGAAGTGGCAAGAAATTGACCGACACAGACCACCCACTAGTCACAACGGGAGTCCGCAGCACGTCTGTCCTACTTACTGTACATGTCGACGGATAGAGCCATCTGCTCAGTCGGTGGTGGTCATAATGCACATGTCGTCTGTATCCTCGGGTTGCTTCGTTTCTGACTCTGACATCCAGCCGAGGCTCTGCGCTTCGAGAACGGACGGGCTTTCGGCCAGTGTGAGGCCAGCAAACACGATGGGAGATGGCATCCAGGAGGCCGGAGTGGAGTGGGCTTCTCTAAATCGAGTAATTCTGAAACGCGCCATGTGGCTGGCCGCAAGGAGAATGGCTGTTTCAGCACTTGGTCGCTGGTTGAGGCCAAACTATCAGCCCCACCAGGTCACAGCCCCTCGATACCCGCGGCCTTCACGGTAACAACGCCTATGGGATGCATATCGACGTGAACAGCAGACTGTCAAGTGTGATCAGTGTCAAGTGTGAAGACTGGTGTACTACGGGAAGACATGCTTCACTCGTTCTTTCATTCATCATGTCGCGTCTCTGCATTGTCGCTGTGGTATCTTGCAGTCATTGAGGTCGAGCCTCTCATTAACCCAATCCTTCTAACCTTGCGCCGCCTCGCTATGCAACTGAATTCAGTCTGGCATCTGGCAGCTAGAGATTCCATGTCCCATGCATACCTAGAATGCATCATGGCATTCCTACAGCCATGATCATGCCACCAAAGCAGCGTCGAATCTCTAGCCAGTCAACCTCTCGGGGATAATCTAATCCAGCACGCAGCTGAACCCACTCGTCCCCATTCGTCTTTGGGGACGGGCGTAGTCAAACGCCCATGGTGAAGTCGTGCTCGATGCCGGGGGTGACAGAAGCCATGAACTTCAGGAACACGACTAGGTACTGATCGACGCGGATGGCTGGAACCTGGACATCCTCGTCCTGACTGCCATCCGCCGAGAGCATTTCCCACTCAGAGTCACCCTCTTTGCCCTTTGATGTCTTGTCTTTCTCTTTCATGTCGAGCTTACTAGTCTGCTCCACAAGGCCCTCCATGCCAGAGGATGATGGCTTGGCACCGTGCTTCATCTTCTCGATGCGAAGTTTGAGTGCTGCGTCGGCCCGGTCGAGCAGAACCTTCATGACGCTGGCATGTTTGCATGGGTGAACAGATGCAGTCTTGATGGGTGGGTCAACGAAGGTGAAGTCCTCGAGTGTGACCGTCTTGTCCTTGTAGTCGCCCACAATATCGTCCATCATGGCTAACGGCTGCAGTGGCTGTAGTGACGAGCTGTAACCCTGCAGGAAAAGACGTGGTGTGCGATAGTAGGGGCTGTAGGTGATGTACAGGGTGTAGGTTCGCATTCTGCCCCAGTCTGTTAGTGAATGCCCAATGCCCTCAGATGAGCCGACTTACGAGTCTTCGCCATTCTTGTTGCCAAAACTTGGATCGCGAATGATTGCTTCCTCGTCGTCTTCCTCATCGTCCATATCCGGAATCTCCTCCTCCTCATCGAGCTCCTCCGCGCCGAGCTTGCCATCATCGTCGACAGTCTTAACGTCCTTGACAAGATCTGCACTCTTGGCCTTCTCTCTGCTGCTATCCCCGCCAGCTTTGAGCCAGCCGTCATCCTCGCCGCTGACCTCTTCGCCCGTTTCCTTCAGCATGTCCAGCACGAGCTGATCCTCATTGTCCTTGCCCGCGAAGTCATCGGCCTTGATGCGCTTGCGGCATGGCACACCCCGAGTGACGAGGTACTGCTTGCCGGCTGGAAAGTACGAGACACGCTGGCTGGGAGGGGCATCGGCCCAACTCCAGCTTGGGAATCGGTGGACCAGGAAGTCACCCGAAGAGAGGAACTCATCTGGCGTGAGCTGGCCAGTGCTGCGGAAGTCCGAGTTGTGGTTGATAGTTGCGAAGCGGTCGCGGAGGGGATCGATGAAGCTGTGGAGGAGGTTCTGCATGTTTGCGGCTGGTTACGGGGTGTCTGTTAGTTGCTGGTCTTGAGCAGGTTGAGTAGATAGGTAGTAAGTTCAGGTGCTGATAGCAATGCAAGTGGCAAGCTTGCTGCAGTATCGCTTCTCTGCAGTGTGTGCTGAATGTTCAGCTTGTCCGAACAGAGCAATCATGCAATGTTTGGAGTCACGGCGGAAGGGGAAGAGGGTGAAGGGTGAGGAGGGAGAGAGGAAGAGAGAAAGAGAGAGAGAGCTTGGTGTGTTTGTCATTGTCCAAAGTGACTCGTTCCGTTGATCATGAGGCAACCGCGACCAAGCTCACATGACGCGCTTGCCCCGCGCGTGTTGTACAACCTCAGGCAACATAAGCGGAAACACCCGCACGTCTTTCTTCCTCTACACCGCATCATCATCGGCACAGTATGGCAGAGCAGGGAACAGAAGTGAATAAATTAGTGACTTTCATCTCTGACTTTGTGATAAAGCAAGTTCGAGAGTTTCATATCACCGATACGCTTGTCTTTTGAGTAACAGCTGAAATGAAACCAATTCCAATACTTGACCAGTCCTGGCACACAATCTGAACAAGAAGTCTTTTCATCCTCGAGGACTCCTTCGTGCTGCTCTCTACGGACCTCCAGTTCCGTCTTACATTTTCCATTGTGGCTTTGATAGCAAGACGACCTACCGATGCCGTCGTGGACTTGCTACCAACGCTACCTATTCGCCCTGCCCAAAGAAGCAAAAATGCTGCACTGGGCAAGCTTCAAAGCTCACACCGCCTCGGATACCGCGGCTTCATGGAGCAGACTACCGTCCGAAAGCCGCATTTGAAGGGACACTTCGGCTTCGCAACAGAACTAAGCCCTTCCTCTCGACACGGATGTGTTTTATACCAAGAACCTATATTCCAGAAGCTATCAACCATCCTCGACAAGAGTGCATTCAAACCTACCCAAGGTATGATGCCATATCCAGCTTTTGTCTACCCATGGTCCATGGAGTAGTCTCGGGGGCAACAGTCAAAGAACTAGAATGGAATGAGATGACATCAAGAGGTCAATTGGAAAGGGGTGTGATATTACCATTACATTTCTGCGGAGCAGCAATCTGAACGATCGTGCAAAATTTTACTACTAATGAAATTGTCGTAATAAGGAAATTGTCGCTGTTTCCACACAGCGTAGAGAACGTGACATCTTCCCCCAGCTAAGAACAAAAGGAAAACAAAGAAGGACTGGACCAAAGGTCCTTTCAAATCCACCAAGCAGGATGTTCCCTGTCCGACACAGGACTACTCACAACAACAGCAACAGCGGCGGCGGCGGCTGCGGCGGCAGTGGCAGTGGCAGCAGTAGCAGGAGGAGAATGCGGAGGATCAGCAGCCGTGCTACCAGTACCCACCTCCCTCTTCCTCGCCTGCTCCATATGACCCCACAATGCGCCCTTGACATTTTCCAAAAGCCGATTCTCCCTCTCCAACTCCTCCCTCTCCTTCTCCAACCACTTGATCCTCAAATCCTTATCAGCGACCGCATCCTCCTCCAACGCCAACCTCTCCGTCATGACCCTCAATTTCGCCACCAAATCTTTATTTCGATTCTGATCACTACTCTGCAAACTCCCCAGTTCAGCTTTCAACGCACATGTTTCGTCATGTTTCAACCCATTGCTCACGCGGAGCAGTTGCGTTTCGCCTCGACAGAGCTGCAGTTCGGTTTTGGTTCGCTCGACTTCGGCTTCGACGGCTGCGACGCGGCTTTGCTCTGAGAGGAGAAGTTCGGCTTTGTATCGGAGTTGAAGCTCGACGGCTTTGAGTTGTTTTCGCAGACGGTAACATTCGACCTGCCAGTCGGTGGAAGTGTTATCGTAATCTGCCATTGTTGCTGAAATGGAGGAGTTGCCCATGGGGGAGAGATGTCTGTTGTTCGTGTTCGTGTTATTGGTCGTGCCGCGGGTCGAGATCGTGTTGGGCACAAAAGAAAAGTCGGGCATTCTCTGGACATCGACGGCTGTTACTTGTGGTATGGCGGCGGCCGCCGCAGCAGCAGAAGCATGTGGCGACGGAGGTGCTATAGGTGACACTGGAATCCTCTCGGCTTCCTGTAGTACCGCATCGTATTCACTTCCTGTGTCGGAGTAGTCGACTTCATCATCATCATCATTGTCATCATTATCATCATTATCCTCCTCCTCCTCCTGGGCCTTCTCCTCGTCCTCCTCCGTCGCTTCTGCTACTCCATCGCCAAGAACTGAGATGCAGGGAATCGGTGCACTGCAAGACGGCGTACGACCATGACCAAGTCTCGTCATAGATTGCGAAGAAGGCAACTCATGAATCTGTCGCAATTGATCTCGATGTTCATCATCCTCATCATTAGGCATGGCACACAACTCCGAGGAATCCGTAAACATGCTATCATGTTTGCAGCTACTGCCGGCAATGCCCTTGTTGATGAAGCACGACTTCACCGACGATCCTGGTCGAGAGTCGGGTCGGTATCCATACAACTCGAATGTTGATGGTCTGCAGTTGCGGCATTTATGAGATGCTGCCGACGTTGAAGCTGGTCTCGCCAGTAGACCGGGCGAGAGAGGCTCGTCGCGCTCGGAAACCATGCTCAGCTTGTGGGGATCATGTTCAAAGTGTTCGGGCGGCGCTTGTTCCACTGGATGCCATCTGATGTCTCGTGTCCCTCCGCCGATAGGTTGAGTGGCGATAATGGTCCGACGTTGGAATGATTTGATGGAATTTTTGCTGTAATTCCTCGCTTCCTTGCCTTCGTACATTGAGGAGAAATCTTGTGCTTCGAAGCTTTTTCGACGTAAGAGTCGGCTGAGTCTCGCTTTGGCCTTTTTCATTGTTGGTGTACGTGATAAAGATTCTGCTGCAATGCTCTCGCCCCCATCACGGTGGTGTGGTGAGTTCATGCTATGCGAGAGAGATGCTGGTCGCGGCATTTTTTCTTTCGCCTTCTCTTGCAACGTGATGACCTAGTGAGTGACTGTGAACGACCATAGGCGTGGGAATCGAATGAATGAATGAATGGATGGATGTTCGTTAGTTGGTTAGCTCGTACAGTGTGCAGATGCGCGTGCGAGGCCACGACGACACCGCCTTCTTTAACACACCGTACTTGATTTCGTCCCTCTGCTGTGGCGCCGCTACCAACCGTTTCAGTGTCCGGATTCGACGTAGTGGTTGATAGAAGGTCTGCTATAGCCTGTATTAAGGTCTATACCACGGGCCCTACCTGTCTGCCGTCTTCTGTCGCAGTTAGACTCGCGCACGCTATTTTGCTTCAATAGCATATTGGCTAACGGTGTCAGCCAGAGTCAGAACGAAAGCATACTTCTGCAACTGCTACAAGAAGTAGTACATAGCAAGAATGCTCAATGCTCAGTGCTATTATTGTATAGCGCATCTGACTCAAGCCCACCCGTTGCAGCTCATTTGGGAAATCCGTGATGCGTACTCAGTTGACATCCAGATATACGACGTTGTTCAAAGAATGCAACTCGGCTGAACAGCGGGGCTATACATGCCAGTGGCTGCTGCGAAGGTTGTAGCAATTGCATATGCCTTATCAGACTGATTTTGCCATGCAAAGCAGGTCGCGTACCGATGCAGCCGGACCAAGCTGCATTAGCAGTCAGTATACATATATCTCCGATCCTGCCGCGGCGCAAGCCACACGAAGGTGTGGCGGCGGGTTTCTGGTCAGGGTACCGTCGTCATATCGCTACTCGTGGCACAACCGTTTCGACCGTTTTGAAACGGAATTTGCGTCGGAAAGTGTACTTTTTTTGATATCTGCGCATTGTGCGCACTGGCAGTTTGCAGAGTGTCTCAACTCTTCTGTTTGATTTTTCTTTGGCAGTGAGTCGTGGTTACTACTCTCCTCTTGGACTGCGCAGAGATTGATGTATATCGAAGCTCACCTATTTCTCCAGCTCACCGTGCGCCAATGGTTCTCGACTGCAAATGCGGATTTACCAGTGTGCCCATCGATGATCGATCGTGGTCATTGTTTTCCAAAGCCAGCCTAGTCGGTGCGCTCGCTTGGAAAGACAGGACCACGAACTGATACGGCGCCACGGACCACACTATATAGATGCATAAGCATCGAGGGACATTACCGCTGACATGGCTCCGATCAGGTGGGGGTAATGTGGTGAATAAGAAAATTATTACCACGTGCCATCCCATTACCTCGTCCCGTACTCTTTGTTAAAAGCTCTCCCAATCACCATTCTCCTCACTTCGCTGGTCCCAGCACCAATCTCGTATAACTTCGCGTCACGCATGATGCGCCCAGCAGCCATTTCGTTCATGTAGCCCATACCTCCCAAACATTGGATGGCGTCCATGCCACACTCTGAAGCTCTCTCGGCAGCATACAGGATCGCACCGGCACAGTCTTGAGTCTTGATGACGGGATCTTCGTGACTCTCATCGATGGCCCGTGCAACAGAGTATGTGAAGGCCGAACTGGCTCTGTACTTTGTGTACATGTCGGCTAGCTTGCCTTGTATGAATTGGTTGTGTGCCAGAGGTTGGTCGAACTGCTTCCTTTCGTGCACATATGGCAACGTGACATCTAGAGCAGCTTGCATCAGACCGAGCGGACCAGCGGAAAGAACCAATCGTTCCAGATCTAGACCTTCCATCAAAACTTTTACTCCTTTATTCAGTGGTCCCATAATGGCAGAATCAGGCACAAAAACGTTGTCGAACAGCAGTTCTCCGGTGTTGGACCCCCTCATACCCAGTTTGTCCAGTTTCCTTGCGACGCTAAATCCGGGTGTGGTCGTATCAACCAAGAAAGCGGTGATGCCTTTGCTCCCGGCCTCAGGTAACGTCTTCGCATACACGATGATCACATGCGCATCCGGTCCGTTCGTGATCCACATCTTACTCCCATTCAATTGATAGCCTCCATCAACCTTTTTGGCAGTCATTTTCATGCTCACCACATCGCTTCCCGCAGTATGTTCGCTCATGGCCAATGCTCCAATATAGTCACCCGACAGCAGGCCCGGCAACCACTTCTCTTTCTGCTCGGCGTTTGCATGCAGCTGGAACTGGTTCACACATAATTGCGAGTGAGCGGCATACGAGAGGCCTATACTCCCCGAAGCTCGACTGAGTTCTTCCAGGACGATGCAGTGGGCCTGATAACCCATGGCGAGACCTCCATAGTCCTCGTCTGCGGTGATGCCGAGGAAGCCTGCCTCGCCGAATTTCTTCCAGAGGTCGTTAGGGAACTCATTGTTGTGGTCGGTGGCCTGCGCGAGGTCGTGCGGGATTTCTCGACGGACAAATTCGATGGTTCGTTCACGCAGTTCTTCGAGGTCCGATGTCGTGGGTGGGGAGAAGCCTTTGGGGTGTTTGGTAGTGGAGGCGTAGCGGTGTTCTTTCGGCGATCGAGAGACGATACATTGTGGAACTATCCGTGTTGCTGGACATCCAAGAGTCCTTGTGGACTGTAGCAGAGCGGTTCGGAGGTGTATTGATGGGGGCATATTGGAGAGGGACAAAAGATGGAAGGGCAGGAGGGGAAGGGAGCGGAGGCGGGAGTGGAAGCGGCTCCATCTTGTGTCTGTGGGGAGACGCGTCTGTGCCGTTGATAAGCGAGCGGGCTCGGCTCAAGCAACAGCTTCACCGTGGTGTGAGCGTGTGTACAGTACCTATAGTGTAGGTACATAGTGTAGGTATGGGGACCAGCAGGATGTGAGAGCGAGCTACCGATCCCACGATGGCCTCCCTCCTGCTGCCTTTACCTGCGCGAGCGCTGTTGCACCACGTTCCACGCCGCCAACGACTCCTTCACCACCCCCTCCCCCTCCGCCTCGTCCTCCAGCCAGTCCAATGCCACTACCTCAGTCAACGACGGAAAGCGTCCACCTACACGAGCCCTCACCACGCCGCACAGCTGTCCGTCGTCCAGACGGCAGTAGACCCATCCAGCAATGCCTTCCGGGACAATGCCGCCGCCATGGCAGAATACATGCACACGCTGACGGCTCTCCATGAGTCTGCCGCCAAGGGAGGGCCCGAGAAGTCGAGACAGAAGCACGTGGAGCGAGGGAAACTGCTGGTCAGAGACCGCATCACTGCTCTGGTCGATCCGGGCACGAGCTTCCTCGAGTTGAGTGCTCTCGCTGGCCATGAGATGTACCCTGGGGAAGACGTGCCGGGCGGCGGTATTGTCACTGGTATTGGGACTGTAGAAGGCGTACAATGCATGATCCTGGCCAATGATAGCACTGTCAAGGGCGGCTCCTATTACCCCATCACTATCAAAAAGCACTTGCGCGCTCAAGAAATTGCCCAACAGAATCGTCTGCCATGTGTGTACCTCGTAGATTCCGGTGGAGCAAACCTGCCACATCAGGCCAACGTCTTCCCAGATCGAGATCACTTTGGCCGCTTTTTCTACAACCAAGCCAACATGTCCGCTCAAGGGATACCACAGATCAGTGTGGTCATGGGATCATGTACAGCGGGCGGCGCCTACGTGCCTAGCATGTCCGACGAGAGCATCATTGTCAAAGGACAAGGCACCATTTTCCTGGCAGGCCCGCCTCTCGTCAAAGCTGCCACGGGAGAAGAAGTCAGTGCCGAAGATCTAGGAGGCGGGAAACTCCATTCCGAAGTCTCGGGCGTGACAGACTACCTCGCAGAAGACGACACGCATGCTCTCGTCCTCGCTCGAAGAAGCATTGCCAACCTCAACTACCCCAAATCCCCAAATCCTGCTCGGAAAGAAACTTTCCAAGAACCTCTGTACGATGTCGAGGAACTCGGAGGTATAGTAGGCACCAATCTCAAACAGTCGATCAACATGCACGAAGTCATCGCACGCATCGTGGATGGCTCCGAATTTTCCGAATTTAAGCCCTCATACGGCAAAACCCTCCTCACGGGCTTCGCCTCGATCTATGGGCACCCCGTGGGAATCATCGCCAACAACGGAATCCTTTTTAGCGAGTCCTCCCTCAAAGGTGCCCATTTTATTCAACTCTGCTGTCAACGCCACATCCCCTTGATATTCCTCCAAAACATCTCCGGCTTCATGGTCGGGCAAGACGCAGAAAAAGGAGGTATAGCCAAGAATGGTGCCAAACTCGTTACCGCAGTTGCTTGCGCACAAGTTCCCAAATTTACTGTATTGGTAGGTAGTTCGGCGGGCGCGGGCAATTATGGAATGTGTGGGAGAGCTTACAGCCCGAATTTCTTGTGGAGCTGGCCCTCGGCGAAGACGAGTGTCATGGGTGCGGAACAGTTGTCCTCTGTCATGGCTGCGGTGGGGAAGACGGTGGATCCGGAACTGAAAAAGCGGATTGAAAGGGAAAGTGAAGTTACCTTCGGAACTGCGAGGTTATGGGATGATGGCGTGATACCTCCCAGTCATACTCGGAGGGTATTGGGAATGGGTTTACAGGCTGCTATGACGGGGAGCGTGGAGAAAAAAGAGACGAAGTTTGGCGTGTTCAGGATGTAATACCCTTATCGTATCTTCTTAGCCATTGCTTTCTTCCTTCTCCTGCTCCTCCTCCTGCTCCTGCTCCTTTACGCTTCTCTCCTCAGTACGTGCAAGATCAATCACTGGCAATTCCGCCATATGCGTCTTCGCAGTTCCATATGGCACTAACCTCAACACCTCCTTTTCAGAAATACAGTATTTCTTTTCTTTCCCCACAGGCGGATAACCGGGTACACTATTCAAGTACATGTCCCAATTAATCTTACACCCTTCTACTTCGATATACCCCGGCGCGGCGCCTGATGTCCAGATTGGATTGGGAAGTTCATCAGCAGCGGCAGCAGCAGCGACACCGCCCTTCATCTTCTTCGCTTCCCATGGCTGCGGTAAAACATATCTCAAAGAACTCGGATCAATGGCGTAGTTCCACGCACTCGTGTTGTGAAATTCGTAATCTCTGCATTCTGCAGGTGCGTAATCGGATGCATACGTGGAATCCCCTGCAGGGGTTTTGGGGAGAGTGGAAGTGTTTGTGTGTGAGACTTCCAAGGCGTATAGGAGAGGGCCTTTGTATATTGCTACGGTTTCATTTGCGCGCGACTCGGCGCGGATGGAGGATGGGAGGTTGTAACTGATGTGCGTTGTTCCAGGGCAGAGGGAGATGGCGTGGAGACCCGTTTCGGTGTTCGGATTGACGGAGGATGGCGAGGTGTTGTTGACTGTGATGGTAGTGTCGGAGTATGTGGGGCCTGCCCATTGTGGAACTCGGACGTAAAGGGTGATAGGCTTGGTAGTGGTAATGGTATACGACAAATGGTCTAGGAATGGATATGCCGTGTTACAGACAATCGTCACAGGACTGTTTAAGATGGTGGTATTGATGCTGCTGGGACTAAGGAGGACATGCGCCACTCCGCTCCTACCGACCCGGACCCAGCTGCTCGATAGGAACTTCGGCCAGCCTTGTGGATGATTGACAGTGCAGCAAGGATAATTCGGTTCCAGACCAAATGTTGCACCCCATGCATTCGTGTTGTAGAAGGGAGTTTTGTCAAGGTGCTTGGCATATGGCTGATTCGGTTGCGACATGTACTGATGCGCCCAATGGTCGGGCGTCATTGCAGCAGGAAGGGCATTGAATGCGGCCAACTCAGCGCGGTCAGCGTAATAGTTAGTCCCAAGCGCTTGGTATAAATAAGACAGTGAATACATGGTCTCCACAGTAGTGCATAGCTCCGAGCCACTATATGGCGAGAGACCAACGAGTCTTTCATCAGCGAGGATAGAGCCAGACGCAGAGCCATGATACCGCATTGTCCAGTTGACACCGTTCATAGCAGTTTGCACCAGAGTGGCATTATGGTTCCATCGTCGTACTACTGCTGCAGCTTTTAATCCTTGGCCGACATTCACTCCATGTTCGAAGGGAAAGTTGGGATCGTCGTATGTGCCATGCGGATTGACAACGTTGAAGTCTTTGTCGAATAACCTTCCCATGTACACTTCTTCAGTATACCAAGACTCCCAGTTCAGGCCGCCTTCGTGTAAATATCTCATATTGTCGAGTAGTAGTCGAGATTGATTTGCAGGATGATGCTCGTACAGCCATTGCAAAGTGATCATGCCATCCTGCATTCTTACCCTTCCCCAATCACTTCCACAGTTTCCAGGCGAGCAATTATCGTTGGGCGGATTGTAGCCCGTATAATTATCCTTCATCATGCGGTCCATCAATCTCATGAAGACATGGAGCTTCTCCACGACGGGCTGAGTCCAAGCGCTGTCTGCTTCGGCCAATTGAATCAGTCCTAGAAAGAAAGGGAATCTTGCCCATAGGTTTCTGTCTCTCGTGGTCTTTTCTGGTCCTAGCCAGCCATCTTCCTGCTGATTATCGAAGACGGTCTGGAGGGAAGTCGTGACCTGTTGCTTCAGACGCTCATCATCAAGACCATAGGCCAGCGCCACCAGTCCATTGAACCAGTACGGAAACGCCTCATTGAGTCCGGAGTAGTCTTGATCCCCGCCCAGCCAAACGGAATGCGCAACGTACTTGTAGAAGTCATGTTCATGTCCCGCGAGACCATCCGACATGAGCCGTAGTTCGTTCCGCAGCCATCCTGCGGGCCTGATGGAACCTAAAGGAAAGGGCTTGAAGGTGAGTGGCAGCAGCGCGCTCTTGGTATGGGATGTTGCGATGATGGCTGATGTATTCAATGCCAGAGGTGCTTTCAGAATCGAAGTCAGTGAGCCAAAGAAACCGAGCAACGAGGTGCCGACGAGCGATAGGCTGGCCATGTATACGTGAGTGGTCGTCGACTGTACGTCGACAGAAGACCGAGCATGGTGTGCGTTTGTGAAGTCTCATCATACATCCCTTGCCGCAGCATTCCAAGGAGCACCTGGAGGCTGGGACGAGTCATCTGATAACCTATACCATTCATTACCTTCATTTGACCTGATAGTCTCTCGCGTGAGAAGGCTGATGGTCCGGCCAGGTATAGCGAAGAAAAGTACAATACAGATGTTGTAGGAGGTATGTCGTTCAGTGGAAGTGGATGGAAGTGTCCGGCAGTTCTGATCGGGCCGGGCGGCATCGACGAATGGGAGCGCTTCCGTGAATGCTGATCTGTGCCGCCTCCCGAGCTCGGAGAGAGTCACAATTTATTGTCGAGGATGCCAATGCCATTGCCTTCGACTTCTCCATTGTCTGTCATTGTCACTGCCACTGCCACCGCCACCCACAGGCAGAGGCTCCATCCGCCGCATCAGAGACATGTTCACCTCCGCCCTCCGATCCCGACCCGCGTGGTGCGCTCGCAGTCAATGGCAGACGCGAGCTCTCTCCCTCACCGCACGCAGAAGACAGGCCTCTCCCGTCGATGGCGATGCCTCTGGCCTTAATGCCGTGTCGAAGACCATCACCCAGCCCAAGTCGCAGGGCGCGTCGCAGGCCATGCTGTACGCCACCGGCATGACCGAAGTCGACATGAACAAAGCCCAGGTCGGCATTTCGTCCGTGTGGTTCTCGGGCAATCCGTGCAATATGCACCTGTTGGACTTGAACCACAAGATCAAGGAGAGCGTGCAAAAGGCCGGCTTGTTGGGCATGCAGTTCAACACCATCGGCGTCAGTGATGGTATTTCCATGGGCACCAAGGGCATGCGCTATTCGCTGCAGAGCCGAGACATCATCGCCGACTCGATTGAAACGGTTATGAATGGGCAGTGGTACGATGCAAACATCAGTATCCCAGGCTGTGACAAGAACATGCCGGGTGTGGTAATGGCCATGGGGCGGGTCAATCGGCCGAGTATCATGGTGTATGGAGGTACCACTGCTGCTGGCTGTGGTGTACAGGCAAAAAATGCGAAATTGGACATTGTGTCGGCCTTCCAAGCCTACGGACAGTTCCTTACAGGCGAGATCAACGAAGACGAAAGGTCAGACGTCATCCGCAACGCCATTCCCCATTGCGGCGCCTGTGGCGGCATGTACACGGCAAACACGATGGCATCCATCATTGAGCTGCTTGGTATGACTCTCCCCGGGTCATCAACGAATCCCGCAATGAGCAAAGCAAAACAGCTTGAAGTCATGGCCGTTGGTCCCGCCATTCGCAACCTGCTCAAGGAAGACATTAGACCCTCGGACGTCATCACGCGCGACGCGCTGGAAGATGCCATGGTTCTTCTCAACATCACCGGTGGCTCAACAAATGCAGTCCTGCACTTGATCGCCATTGCCCACAGCGTTGGGATTGATCTTACAATCGATGACTTTCAAAAAGTTACAGATCGAACACCATTCCTAGCAGATCTCAAGCCTTCAGGGAAGTATGTCTTCCAAGACTTGCACGAGATTGGAGGCACACCCAGCTTGATTAAATTCCTGCTTGGCGAAGGTCTGCTCCATGGCGATCGAATCACGGCAACTGGCAAGACTATCAAAGAGAACTATGAGAAGGCACCAAGCTTCCCAGAAAGCCAGGATATCATTCGACCTCTCAGCAACCCAATCAAGCCTACTGGTCACTTGTGCATTCTTCGCGGTTCTCTGGCACCAGGCGGAGCTGTTGGCAAAATCACCGGCAAGGAAGGTACTGTCTTTACTGGCAAGGCCAAGTGCTACGACGCCGAAGATCTCTTCGTCGAAGCACTCGAGCGCGGTGAGATCAAGAAGGGCGAGAAGACTGTCGTCATCATCCGCTACGAAGGCCCCAAGGGCGGACCTGGTATGCCGGAGATGTTGAAGCCCTCTTCCGCCATCATGGGAGCTGGTCTTGGTAACGACGTCGCTCTGATCACCGATGGACGATTCTCTGGTGGTTCACATGGTTTCCTGATCGGCCACGTCACGCCCGAAGCACAAGCTGGAGGCCCCATTGGCCTCGTCCGAGATGGCGATACGATCACAATTGATGCTGAGAAGCGTGTCATCGACATCATCGACACCACACCTGAAGAGCTGCAAAAACGAAAGCTGGAGTTCAAGGCACCTGCTCTGAAATACCAAAAGGGGACGCTGTACAAATACGCCCACATTGTACAGGATGCTAGTCACGGCTGCATCACGGATGGCATGTGATGAGGTCAGGGTGGGTGACTACCTCAAGGATGTATTATACCCGGTTCAATACAGCACGGCGTTTGTGGTGGTGGTACTGGTAGTGGCGGTGGTGCACTGATGGAGGCATTTAGAGAAATCTACTCGGTATTTACTGTAATAAAAAAGTTGATGACCGGGCAGGCCTTCCACGGCATCATGCCATGACAAAAGAAATTTTACGAGTCGATACGAACACAAGAGCGAGCTCGGAGGTCGGAACAGTGATCCGTCCCGCACACGCCTCTTTCCGATTACTGCCCAGGACCTTGGGACCATTTTGAATTTCATCTTAGACATGCACGCATAGTCTCACGCTCAAGCCGCCTGTACGGATTACGGTGTGGACATGGGATGCGATGCAATCGTGGTGGGAGAGTTTCCCGGAGCGTTTGGAATTGCTGTTTATTTTTTTGTCAAAACCAAAGTCACACTAGTGAGTAGTAGGCATGATGGAACAGGCTTCAACAGACCATTCTCGAGATCTATATTGATCATATCTACCTAGGTATATATAGTTCGACAACACTCAAAGGCGCCTCTTTAGCCGTGAAGAATTACGACACAACAGGGTGCTGCTGCACTTTCGCATATAGGCTCATTAGTGGAACCAGTGCAGCACGCTGCTATACGGGTTCTAATTATTGCCCGATGGACTGGAGTGGCAATGGCATATTAATAGAGTTTTTACGCTCAGCTAGGGCAAACACTTCATCATCATGCGAAGCGAATCCGATGTTAGGTAGGTACTGTACCTTCTAGGTGTACCTATGCTTATACCGCTTATAGCATACATGTTACCGGACAGAGCCGAATCAGCTGATGGAAACGCGCCAATATCGAGGCTGCGCGGCCACGTGAGTCTCCCTCTCTACATACCTACATGGACCTCGGGGAAGGAAACCCTTCGGAACGTTACGTGATGTCCGCACACACCTGGCTGGCTCGATCTCGACACTTTCTACACCACCGTCAGCACCGTAGAAAAGATCCTGGCTGTAGAGACAGACCATCGGAAAGAAGCAAAAGGAAAATGCAAAACCAAAAAAGAAAAGGTTCACGACACGCATGGAGATGTAATTTTGGCATGAATGTGCAGGTAGGGCATGAGCTACCTTATGAGATGATGACAGTAGCATCAGCATTCATCACATGGCGAAGGGAGCTGAGAAGGCGAAATTGCTCGTTCGTATGGAAGGAACTTCTCTCGCTCTTCTCTCGCTCTCTGATGGATGTGAGTGGAGTGAGTGATTGCACGTTGTCAAGGTATTGGTCTGTGAGGCTCCTGCAGCTCTGACGACCGCCTTGACCAGATGCTAGGAACATGGACCCGACTTCTTGTTCTCTAAGCTGAAGACTTGAAAAGAAGTCAGCTGAAAAAGAAAGCCTAGGGCGGCACGAAGGTTTCTGCTGGCATATGCTGGTCAGACTCTTCATGACTGGGGTAGGGCCGAGAGGTTGAAAGATTATTTGTTGATGATGCTCTCAACCTCTGTATTCCGGGGCAGGACAGGACAGGAGGTAACGGGACCGGAGAGAAAATATCACGGACTATACGCTGCAAAAGGCAAGTAGCTTGATCTGCGTCGTCACGCTATCTCGCATTTACATACGGTAGGGGGTATATATATATACCTATATACGGGACCCTCTGTATATATCTACCAGCAGGCTTACCTTACAGAAATCTTCCTCCCCATCCTCGTCCATCATCATCATCATCATCATCATCATCATCATCATCGTCTCTTCAACATCCTCAACGCCCGCAACCCTCGAAAACAAAAAAAGTACCCCTTTCAAAACAAGAAAGAAGCAACCATGCCATCCTTCACCACCACCGCCCTCACCCTCGCCCTGGGCCTCGCAGGTCTTACATCCGCCACTGGCACCCTCGAATCGCGCCAAGCCATGAACGTCAAACCAAACTGGAAGATTGATAACAAACTCATCGGCTGCGGAGCGAACACCTGCAACTACTCGTTCGACATCAACGCCGAAGAATATCGCGCCACCCCGGGTTTCAATGTCAAGTGCGAATCTGTGGTCCCTCTGAAGTATGGACAGTACATTCAATGTATCTTGAACGGAGCCACGTCTTCGATTGTGCCGGGACGCGCAGTGACGATGGTGTGGGCGGCGGTGTCTATGGATCCGAGCGAGACGCAGGAGAGTTACGTGTATGCGTATTTGACGTTTCAGAATGAGATGTAAGTCCCTTTTTCTTCTTTTTCCCCCTCTTCTTCTTCTACTTCTTCTACTTTCTTCTTCTGGGAGATAGGTACCTGTGGTGTTCTTGTGCTGACCATCATTCGTTGTAGGGGACAAACCGAGAACTGGAGCGGAGCTGTGACGGACAGCTACAAAGACTTTAGCAGCAACCCAATCGACCCAATCATCGCCTCGAAAGTTTAAGCACGAATCGAAACGTCGTGGTGGATGAACTAAGGTCATGGAGGATGATGAGCTAGCTGGTCGGGTGACGACAGGATAAATAAATGATTTCGGTTGTGGTTTGCGATTGATTCTTTTTTTGTTTTCCTTCAAAGAAGAGGAGGCGATGTTGTACCTCTGTAGTGTTTTTTGGCTTGTTCAAGCAACCTGGTGCATACCTATGAAGTGGAACGGGGATTCGAAACGGCCGATTGTGCATGTGTGTGTGTGTGTGTGTGCCTGTGTGCGCGTTCAAACAGATCAGCTCGTACGAGTCGTCTTTTCAGCTTCATGTAGAATGGATTTGCACTGCAATAAACGTGTAGCTAGGTAGCTCTCTTTAATCGTCGCTCACGTCTTCGCGTTGTTATCCTCATGCGGTATTGTGATACAACTCGCTTCTGAGCCTGCGCTGAGAGCTGCTCTCTGATCGTCCTGTTGCAACACCAACTTCCTGGACAATGCAAGCGGCATTCATAGTCCCACTTCCACCTTTTATGCATCGCAAGCAGATACCGGTAGTGGAGGCATTACAATCTTGGCCTACAAGCTCCGGTACTGAATAAGGTAGCGAGTGGTTCAATCGCATCTTCAGCAGTCTTGCGGCGTGTCATACACTCCGTAAAACAGATTTCTCGTGGCTGACACATATCGCATGCTCAGTCTCGTCCTAATAGTCCATGAGGGGCCCGACCATGCACCACCTAACCTCGGAAAGAGAACTTGCGTTCCCATCTCCAAAACCCTCGATCATACCTCCACAGCGCCAAGCCCTCCGCATTCCCATCATCACCCTTCCAGTAGCCCTTGAGCTCATCAAGCGCGTTTTGCACTTCCACCTCATCATCCACTTTATTCATCAACGTGTAATGCACTCGACAGCCTCCCGCATCCTGATCTGAAAGCCACTGGCCATCTGCCTTCCACGCCTCCTGCAAATGTCGATGAATTTGCTGTGCTTGCCTCCCACCATGCGGAGTCGAGACGGAGATTGCAAACCCTTTTTTCATACGGAAAGGCTCTGTTGCTGCGACGCGGAATGGAGCTGTTCGTCTGGTCACGTCCAGGATAGTGGGAATGATGACGCTGTCCAATTTGCTTTCGGGCAGAGCGTGAAATAGGGTGAGGTGTGCTGCCAGCTTGTTGATTCGTTGGGGAAAGTATTTCTTGCGCAGAGAGGTCATACGGTCGTGCAATGGCTTGTCTGTTAGGAGGGTCAGGACGTAGACATTCTCTTCTTCCTCGGCTCCTGTTCGCGGAATATGTGAAGGAGAAGGTTCATATCTTGGTGGTTGTGAATCTGGCTGCTGCTGTTGCTGCGGTCTGGCATGGGAGGTCGCCGACTGAGATTGTGTTTCTACGCTCTGCTGCTTCTTTGCAGGTGGTAGACCTTGGGATAGTGTGGCTGAATAGCTCAGGCCCGTGCTATTCGACATTACAACCTTAACACTGTGAACACCTTTGAAGTTGCTGGTCCTGGACGATAGCAAGCGAACAGCATATGACAACAGGAGCATTTGGTTGACCTCCTACCTCCTAGGTGCTAGACAAGATTCCCCATTGTCGAAAAAGGATTCGAGTGTTGACGACACTTGACGTAGTTCGTGCCAAACCTTCGAATGATCGTCAGGTACATGTACCGAGCGTGGTCTGCGGAGGTATGGAGCTCGCGGGCTCACATGCCCGAGGCCAAGATGACAGACTGTCCTACTTTGCTACTGATTCGATGCCATCGGTGCCCCAGCAAGTGTAGAGGAGATGCTCTCGGACGGTATGTAGGAGGTAGTTCTTGTACAATCATTCTGCAGACTGCAGGACACTCCAACGCAATCTCCTATCAATGGACACAGGCTATAGGGAGCGCCCCTGCAGGAGACGGTTTGTGGTTAGAGCGCGTTCGCTTGTGCACCTTATAGCTTCTGGCCAGAAGCTATAAGGTCACTTAAGGCTATAAGACGGTCGCGTTCGCTTGTTTACCTTATAGCTTCTAGCTAGAAGCCCAGCTTCTGGCTATAATGTAGATACTACGCCGATCTGCCTTAAAAGGGGGAAGGCTCGCGTACTTAACGTAAAAAAAGACGCTAAATCGCCTTCTCGCTAGATCAACCTTATTTTCTCGCTTCTAAGTATAAGGACCTACAATCAACGCTACTAACGCTATTAACGCTATCGGGACGGACGGTAGGACGGTACGGACGGTAGGGCGGTAGGGCGGTACGGACGGTAAGGGCAGCGCTAATATAGAGGAAGAAATAGGGTAGATAGTAGGAGGTAGTATAGACAATATAGATAAACTCGAAGAGCGCCGTATCGCTACAGCGCGCCGGCTTTATGTTATTACTATTATCGTTGCCCTATATACTGTTAGAGAGGTCCTTAGGCGTATACTAGGAGGTATCCGGACAATGTATACCGATCGCTTTGCTAGCGAGCGTAAACTACGAGAGTTAATAGGCTAGCGACTACGAATAAGACGGTTCTGTCGATTTATACCTAGACAATTCGAGGAACTCTATAGTACTATTACACTTACCGATAGATACGAGATATCTAGCCGACAGAAGCTGTTATTATTCCTCTATATAGTTGCGTAGAACCGTTCCTATTGTAACGTAGCCGAGACATTCAGCTATCTAATATCTACAATATATAAGCTCTTTTATACAGTACTTCTTAAACTTGTCAAATTCTACCGGATAGTTGTTAAGCTAGTAATAAAGCAGGATGCCGACGTACTATAGTAGAGACCTAAAAAGTAGAAATACTAGCTATATTTCAAGGACGCCGTTAGGTCGCTAGATAGGAGTTATATTAATATATACTATAAACTAGAAGAAGCTTATCGATACCGCAACCGGAAGGGCTAATTAATATAGAATATACTTACTATTGTTAATTATAATAGAATATTTATATTCGTATTACCTAGTTAGGAGGGATCTGCTTACGATAGTCGAGTTTTAAGCGACGCGGTACTACGATATAGCTTTACTATACCCGACGGGATATATTATCTTACGGATACTAGCTATACAAACAGTCCTCTAACTCTTACTCCCTATTGTAGTATACGATATTACCTACGAGAAGTCTAGATTGCTAGATTAAAGCCGGAGAGTCCTAAAGAGCTATTTAATCTCCGATATTTATCGCTATAGAACGTAGTAGAGCATATATTCGGGGTATTTAAGCGGCGCTTCTAAATATTTAAGGCTGCTCTAGAGTTTAGTTATCTTATCTAAGCAAGACTAGTATATACGTATACTACGCTATACAACTTCCTTACTATACGGAGCGTAATAGAGCTATTACTAGAACTCGTAGCCGATAAGAATAATTACTATAGCTATTAGCCTATAGAAGGGGTCGAGGTAGTTAGTAATAGGACTAATATAGATATATTTCGAGACTAGCTAGTAGAGTAGATATAGAAGGACTATATTAAGTATAATTGATACGAGGAAGCTAATAAGGCTGCCCCTACGGACTATAAGTCTAAGTTTCGACTATAGGAAAATAGCGAAAATAGGTAAATAGATACAATCCCTAGTCTACGCTAGGTCTAACGATTTCTTCGTCCGCGTCGGCAACGAATAGTCGCCTAACAATACTCTCTATCCGCTTAACTTGATCCTCTATATCCTTACCGAGGAAGTAATTAATTTCTATAACGCCTATCTTCCTTAACTCCTTCGCAGCTGCGCGTCTATTAAGTCTATCGATCTTCTTAAACGGCTTTGTCCTTAACAACTCGGCTAACTGACGCTTAGGTAGTAGTATTAGACGTAGTGCTTCTATACCCTCGCGTAGGGCAGTAATAAGACCTTCTATCCCTCTACCTACTATATCTCGAGCTAACTGTCTTCCTACGTTCTTTGTAGCCCGAGTACTATTTATAACAGCGGCCCTTCGTAGGTTAAAGCTGTCTATAGTAGTATTGCTCGTCGGCGAGGTAGAAGACACCGAGTCTATAGACGACTAGCTGTCTATATCAATATCCGTAGCCGTAGTATCAATCCTAATTATACCGTCGCTAGTTGTACTAGAGCTGCGAAACAATACGTCTAACTCGGCTTCAAACTCGAGTAGTCTAGAACGGAACTTCTCGTACTCTTTATGTTTCTTAAAAAAGGTATCGAGTACTTAATCTAGCGCGGATAGACAGCTAGTAACCGGATCCCTAGTCTATCTACTCTAGTTAAAACAGAAAGTCTATATCTTCTAGTTACGATAGAGATTCTATATTTTACTCGTAACCTTCTCTATATCTAGGCGCGCCCTCTGCATCTCGCCGGCGGTATAGATACGTATCGCTTTAACTATAGTATACAATGCCTACGACTTAAATCTATTACCCTCGCGTAGGTAGGAGTACTCTTTTATTAACTCTAGGAGCTTTGTAACTATTGCGGAATTCTATCTAAGTCTTACTACCGTAGCCCTCCGGCGTTTTGTATCGCTACTAGCCTAACTAATAGAGTCGGAGGGGGTTAGAGACGCTCGTTTCGTTAATATCGTCGATAGTAGCGATAGCGGTATAGGCGGAGGAGGTATAGGCGGAGGAGGTATAGGCGGAGGAGGTAGTAGTAGTACTAATTCTCTCGGTAGCGATATAGACTAGTTGCTATATAGTATATCTCCCGACTCTCCCGTTACGTTAAATAAATCTATTAAGTCGAATTCGGCCCTAAAGTTAGTACCGAAACTAGTATCAAAATCGAGGGTATCGTTATAGCTTACAACTTCGTCGCTACTATTGAGCATACCGTTAACGTCTATATCTATAGACTCGTAGAACAGAAGGATAGACATTAAGAACTCTAATCCTCGGTAGGATATAAAAGGAGGTAGAGTATAAAATACACTATAGAACCGAATGCGAGCCAATTATCGTCTCTAGATTAACGACACTAATACCGAATAACCGTCCGAATAACCGTCCGAATAACCGTCTGAATAACCGTCTAAATAACCGTCCGAATAACTATCTGAATAACCGTCTAAATAACTATCTAAATCACTACAAGAACGAAGGCATTATTTCAATATCTTCGTTATTAACGACTATCTTAATATCTTCGTCGTTAAAGACTATCTTAATATCTTCTTCGATAGCGTTGCTATTGTTATAGCCGTCGTTATCGTCGTTGACGTCGTCGCTATCGTCGTCGTCGCTATCGTCGTCGTCGCTATCGTTGTCGTCGTTATCTTCGAGCTTTGTAAGGCGCTCGTAGAACTCTTTCTTCAATATTAATAGGGCTATACGAAGAGACTTCGTATTACTTGTCTTATATTCGAGGCGACGTTCAAGGATAGCTACCCTCTCTTCGAGGGCAACAGCTTTAGTAGTAGTAGCAGCGGCGGAGGTAGAGGTAGCGGATATAAGTATAGTAGAGGTAGTAACGGCGGCGGAGGTAGCGGATACAAGTGTAGTAGAGGTAGTAATAGCGGTAGAGGCAGCGGCGAAACTGTACCCTTTTAGTATACTACGAATATACTATAAGTAGAATTCAGGATAACTTATATAGCTATAGGAGGTATAGTACTAGTATTAGTATTAGTATTAGTATTAGTATTATCGATAAAGAAAGGAAGACAAAGGATACAATTCCTAAGTTAATAATATATATAGTAGATACTTATATTGCTATCGTCTATTCGTATCAATTAACGAATGAACGAACGAATAAACGAACGGATAAACGAACGAATAAACGAACGAATAAACAAACGAAGGAAGAGTAGTAATTGCTACTACTTTTACGACGAATACTACTAAGTATGTCCGAATAAACGTATAAATGAACGTATATATAAGCGCGTATATAAGCGCGTATATAAGCGTATAGAGTATATAGATACGTACGTAAATACTAGTATAAAAACTACTATAACTTTTACAACGAAAACTAGCGTATACCGAATACCTATAAAGCTTAAACCTACCCCCGAAGGTGCAGTATAAACCCCTGAAGATACTACGAATAGTATGTATTCTACGTTTATAGCAGGAGGTATATACTGCTAAGGATATACGAACTTTAACTCTAAACAACCCCGACGAGGGTAAGTAAAGATATTAATAGTAAGAATATAGTTAGAATATTGCTCTCGATAGTATCTATCTTAGGTAGATAGAATTATATATATAGAATACTATAGGTATCTAAGTCTAGGCCTATAAACAACCGAGAATAACTAGATTCTAATCAAAATCTATACTTTACTCGACCTAAACTAGAGAAATATATATATTTTTCAAGTTGTCGTTGACCTAGCGAGATAGTAAGTGGACTATTTTGATCGTACGATTCGCGCGCACAATATAGGAAAATAATACTGCCTAGGTTCCTCTATTCTTGTACCTAATATTTTACTATATCGATCGATCGACCTCGAAAAGAGAGAAATATATATATATTACAAGTTGTCGTCGACCTAACGAGATAGTAAGTAGACTATTTTAATCGTACGATTCGCGCGTACAACATAGGAAAACAATAGTGCCTAGGTTCCTCTATTATACTATAAGAAATAATACTTTATCGATCGATTTACGACAAAGGGGGTTTTCTCTATACTTAAAAGGAACTATTGTTTACTTATAGTATTTTTATCTCGCTTATTGTCTTATAGTATCGCTATTGTCTCTTCGTATTGACCTGTAGTAGCTATATATCCCTCTACTTCTATAGAGATACTCGCTTTAACCTTACTTTACTATACTATATACCTTACTATACTATACACTATACACTATATACTACATACTATACACTACACACTATATACTATATACTACCTACTACCTACTACCTACTATATACTACCTACTACCTACTACCTACTACCTACTATATACTACCTACTACCTACTACCTACTATATACTATATACTACCTACTACCTACTATATACTACCTACTATATACTATACACTATAGCCGTTGCCCTTATACAGACAGTGCGTATAGCAATAGCGTTAGTCTAGTATAATAACGACTGCTTAGTATAGCTAGTAGCCGTTAGGCTATTAAGGGAATTCCTAGACGTCCTACTAACAGAAGAAACCCCTATCCTTCTCGTTACCTAGAGTATGCTCTGTTTTAAAAACGCTAAAGATCGCTAATAATATAGCGTTATACCTAGGGTATCGGTATAGTCGGTAATAAAGCCGGCCTTATAATATCAAAGAGCCGATATCCTACGGTTATTTCTTTGTACTAGCTAATACCAATTATATAGTATAAGCAATGCCTCTAACTAATAGTATTGTATACTAGTAATAAAACTCTAAGGACACTAGTATATCTATTCTATAGGTAGAGTAGCTAAAGAAGATATAACGAGAGGAACGACAAGGATTATCGTACTTTAGGGTATAGCGGTAGTTCAATTTCTTCTTAGGAGCTATACTTCAAGGCAGAGGGCAACAGTATATATAAGGGATAGGCCGATTAGACGGTACGTTGTCGAGTCGCTAGAAGCAATACTTAAGATTTTCGAGGCCGCGGTAGTTAATAGACTTATAGGTAATAAGATAGTTAAGTATATAGGGCAAGGAAGGACAGTAGTAGCTATCTCTCTATAGAGAGATAAAGTAGGAGCGGCGGAGACGGACGGAAGCAGCGATAGTAGCGGTAGCGGCCGCGGCGGCGGCGGCCTACGCTATGTATAGTATAGTCCAGAACTCTACGTATAAGCTGAATAAGTTATAAGAGCACAAGCGAACACCCCCGTCTTATAGCTTTAGTTATAACGACCTATATTTAAGAGAGAGAGTTTACGTAGCGTTAGCTTCTAGCTAGAAGCTATAAGGAACAAGCGAACGCGCTCTTAGACTTGCGGAATATCAGCTGAATAGCTATCAACATAGTAGAGTATAAGACGGTACTACCTCCTATCGTCGCTGCAGTTGTGCTCTTCATACGATGTCACGATGGCTAGATGGATGGACAGGAGGCCAAGACTTCACTCTTTTCGGGATGGGACGGTCCGCGCGCGCGAGGGGCAGATTCCACTTTCCGTCCTTCACCCACCGTCATCAGCCATCGCCAAGTTTGAGAGCATTCAACAGCATTTGACCTGGTAGCTTTCGTTGTCGCCGCCATTGACATTTCCGTACCATTGACATCTCCGCCATTGCCGCCGCCCGTCGACGCTGAGGACTGTCCGACTGCCTACTCTATCCGGCCGTCACTGGACAGGATTGGCAAGCATCATCAGATACCGTACCGTGCACACGCTCTGGCAGAGAGGTGAAACTTGCGCCATGTCTTCGAGATCAGGCACTTCCAAGACTAGACTGCCAGGCGACCTTGGAGCACGAGATCCGCGAAGGCCCAAGTCCCCGGCACCTAGTTCGTTGCCTGGAGATCTTGGTCCCAACGACCCACGTAGAGGTGGAGGCAGAGCGAGCAGCCGGCCACGGAGTTCCGCAGGAAGCCCTGCGCCATCAACAGCTTCGGGGCACACCCGTAATGCTAGCGACGAGGTCGCAACACGCTTGCAAGAAGACCCGCCAGAAATTGGCAGACTGCGAGAGGACAGCGACTCGGACAAGGCCGATGCTGATAACGACAATGACACCGATGCAGATGACAGCAAACGTGGTCGAGCCATGAAGAGACCCATTCCGGGACGGACCACTTCTGGCAAGGCAATTAATGTTCGCGAAGACTCGTCCGACTCGGAAGCGGAAGAGCAAAGTCAGAGCCAGCCTGCTAAGGAGAAGCCCGACCCGACCAAAGGCCAGAGCAAACTATCTTTTGCCAAGGAGCAGAGGAAGTCGCGGCTGGCCAGCATGAGCCCTTCTGGTCGGAGACGTGTGCATCCTTCGACCGCCTACGATGCCGGTCTCAGCGGCACCAACACCCCATCACACTCAGATAATGAGTCTGCTGTCGAGATGCGAGCTGCACAGAAGCTGCCTCTTTCTGTGAGTGGGATCCACAGTACTCCCTCGGCCCATCGCGTCATTCGTCAGATTATACGCGGAGACTTTGAGCACTTTCAGCGCGAAGCTGAAGAAGGCCGTCAACGTCAACGCATGTACTTGGTTGCTACAGATATATCTCCAGAAGCTGAGTATGCTCTTGAATGGACGATTGGCACTGTCCTCCGCGATGGAGACACCCTCTTCGCTGTCTACGCTGCTGATGAAGACGCCCTTGGAGATGTTGGAGGCGTGGAGCTAGGTCATGGTGCCGAGAGTGTGAAGGACACAGCTTCCATCCTGAAAGCCATGCCCACCAGTGTACAACCACAGACAAACATAACCGGACCGTCACCACTCGCGAGAACCAGCCTAGGTGGAGACGTGAGATCTAGAAGTCGAGGTGTGCACGGTAGTGCTGATGCTGAGCGTCGCAAAGCAGTGGAGACCGTCACGGAACGTTGTGTAAGACTCCTGCGTAAGACGCGACTTCAAGTACGCGTAGTCGTTGAAGTCTTCCACTGCAAATCTCCTAGGCACATGGTCACCGAAGTCATTGACTTCCTCTCGCCTACGCTGGTTATTATTGGTTCCAGAGGGCAAAGCGCTATGAAAGGCGTGCTACTAGGATCCTTCTCAAACTATCTTGTCACTAAGAGTTCCGTTCCTGTGATGGTCGCTCGTAAAAAGCTACGTAAGCCTAGCAAGAATGCGAAGAAACTGCATAAGGACGGTCTCGATGTTGCGTATCAGAACACAGGCAGAGGCGGTCGCTTCAGTAACGTCATCCAAGCGCCCAAGGGCAAAGGACTGAGAGTCGAGGGATGGGAGAAGGTGGGAATCGATTAATATGTTGAAGAGACATAACCTTTTGGCCAGGTATCACAAGGGTTTGGACTATCACTGTGCAGTTGTTAATATCGAGAAGTCGTGCTCAATACCTCTGTATATCAGGCTCTCGGGGGATTTTTCAAGACTCATTACGGATTCATCACGGCTCCCGAACCAAATGCGAACATGATTCATCACCGCCGAGCCTACCTTGCCCCCATACTCAGCAGATCACGAAAAACGACGACGAAGGAAACCTTCCTTCACTGCGCTCTTCATCTGGCAAAGGGAAGACTGGAGACTCCAAGTTATGGGATGAACACGGGAGGTGACACGAGCCACCTTGATCTCATATTTTTCTGCTGCGGACACATGGAAACAATCCAAGTCTAAGGAAGATGCTTGTCACACTCATTCCTGCGGAACGAGTTGATGTCGGATCCCGATATAGATGCCCTCTCGTTCTTTCAACACGAACGAGTTCGTCTCAGAAGCCATTGGTAAACTATGTAGCCTTCGCGTTACAAGAACCACAATGCGCATTATCAATAACATAGCCACCCAAATTCGTATTTTAGTAACAGCCGTTGCTTAACGAGATGCACGGTGGCGCTACAATGGCTTCCAGAACACAGTCTCTGTTCAGGTTCTACCACTTCCATTGCTGTCACATCCATTTTGAGCGAAGGCGTCAAGTCCGGTTCCTTCATACCATTTCGAGGCACTTGCACGGAAAGTTCAGGCAGTAATATCATTGAACATAAACAACAGTGCCTCTTTCGACTTCTTTGGGGAGCGAGAGGACCAATAAGGCTTTACTCAGGTATCTGATGGCATCCGGTTGAAACCAAGGGACATGGGTGGCCTGCTATCAAGGGCCGGTTGTTATCTTGGCATTGTATGTAGAGTTGTGGGTACCCACCCCCATCTTTTCCTTCTTGATACCTGTACCTCCTAGGTCATACCTTTGACACCAACTGAGTACTACTTTCTGATTGGTATTGCTTTCTCATTTTGCTCAATTGGGCACTAGTGTAGTATGTGGTTCAAACAGTTATGAGCCCGGCTTGCTCTGCTTGATCAATCAATTAATCAACTGATAGCTGGTTGGTCAAAACCCGCTGTATCAACACAAAGACAAGAACTGCACACCATTATTATATACCAGCCCGAACCCGATCATCACGACGAGGATCGAGTCCAATCAGACCAACTGATAGGATCAATTCCATCAAGCTTATTATCGAGCTAATCGAGTCAACTTAACCCTCGACTGGAAAGATCACTCATTCTTGAAGACGATCAAGAATCAGAGGAGGAATCCGGCCCAACCCAGGGTGGCATTCCTCAGACCACTTCTCAGACTACCACTCACACAATGTGGTCTGACGACGACAACGACGACGACGAGCTGGACAGTCCATTACCGACGGCAGTTGTCAAGCTTCACAACTGGCAGGACTGGAGTGTATGGATTGATTACATCAAGAAAGAAGCGACGATGCTTGGGGTCTGGAGTGACATTGATCCTGATACTGATGAAGCCGATGAGGACAATCCAGTGCAGTACAAAGCTCGACCAACCTTTGATTTTGCGATTAAAAGGACAAGAGATGAAATCACTGATGCTCAGATCGAATATAAGTTCCTCATATACCTCTGGAAGGATAAGCAGAAAAGCTATCGAAGGATCAGGACGATCATTCATCAGTCTATTGCTGTACACTTGCAGTATAGGATACTCACCTGTCGGACTATCAGGGCCGAACTCAAGAAGCTCGCAGAATTCACCAAGCCACCTTCTTGATAGGTCATACCTTTGACACCAACTGAATACTACTTTTGGATTGATATTGCTTTCTCATTTTGCTCAATTGGGCACTAGTGTGGTGTGTGGTTCAAACACATCCCGGCGTGATGATTGTTTTGTGCTTGGCATTGTCGGCAGATGGTGATGGAGTCAGATGAGGGGGATGCTTGATAGTGCGATGGAGTGCAGACGATTGACCTACGCCAAGCAGATCGGCACAGACCACTAGACGCGGCTCATCATTTAGCCGGCTTCGGTAACTGCTCGTCCGGAAGCTCAATTATTCACTTGCCCATCATCAACCTTCCCATATATTCATACCTTAGTATATTTCTTGGTCAGCGTACGAGCCTAGAATAATACCTTACTGAATACCATATCATTCAGCAATCTCACGAATACCCTCTCATCCACAAGAACACACCATCATGGCAAAGAAGATACTCATTACAGGTGCTGGCGGCTTCGTAGGCCAACTCCTCGCAGAACATCTCCTCAACGCCGGCCACAAAGTCGTCCTGGCCGACATATTCTTGCCTCCCATCCCCGCATCCGCTCAGAACCAATCCAATGCCACTACCATCAAAGCCGACCTCTACGACTCCCCCAACGACGTTCTCTCCCACGATCTCGAAGCAATCTACATTTTCCACGGCATCATGTCCGCCGGCTCCGAAGCAGATTTCGACCTCGGCTACCGCGTCAACCTGCATTCCACTCTCCATCTCCTCGAAGCCATTCGCAAAACCATTCCGGGCATCCGAGTCTTCTACGCCTCCTCGACGGCAATTTTCGGCCAACCTCTCCCCGAAACTCCCTCGGAAAGTACAGTGCCCACGCCTCAAGGTTCCTATGGCACGCAAAAAGCCATCATTGAGTATTTGATCAACGACTATACTCGCAGAGGCTACATTAATGGATTCACGCTTCGTTTCCCCACAATTAGTGTTCGACCGGGGAAACCCACTGCTGCGGCATCGAGTTGGATGAGTGGGATTATTCGCGAACCGTTACAAGGGCAAGAAAGTATTTTGCCGTGCGACGATGAGTTTCAGGCGTGGTTGTGTTCGCCAAAGACGCTGGTGCGGAATTTGATGCATGCGTTGACGTTGGAGAGAGATGTTATGCCGAGTCATATTCGACAGGTGTTGTTGCCGGGGATTACCGCTACGGTGCGGGAGATGTTGCAGGCTTTGGAGGAGGTGGGAGGGAAGGAGGCATTGGAGTTGGTGAGGAGGGAAGAGGCGAGTGAGGAAATTAAAGCGATATTGGATAGTTGGCCGGTGACGTTTGATGTTAGTAAGGCGTTGAGTTTGGGGTTTGTGAAGGATGATAGCTTCAAGACTGCTGTGGAGGATTTTGCTGCAAGTTTGAAGAAATAGATTACGCTGTTTGTGATGAGAAGGGATGAGTTATGATCGTGCTCATACTCGAGCATATACCCAGGACGCCGGGCAGGATTATATTTATGAAGCTGCACTGTTTCATGTCTGTTTGTGGCCATATGTGGTCTGAAGCCTACGCTTTGCCCGAACTCCCGATGGCATCCATCCATCCTTCGGTAAGTTCTTGAATCAAATCCGTGCCTTTCTCCATGAGTTGTGTCAAAGGCGCTTTGCCCCAGTTATCAGTCGTGTACTTGTTATATTTGTCAAGCACAAGCTTATTGACGTTGATCCGTGTGACGCCACGTTCAATGCATTTAGCCATAATGTCTGGTGGGAACTCATTCGTTCCGTGCAGCACAATCTGCACCCTTCCGCCAACTTTCTTGTGGATCGTCTCTAACCTGCAAACGGATTTTAGCAGCTTTCATTCACCCTCAAGCCAAAAGAAAATCAAGAAAAACCCCCAAAAAAAACCGAGCACGTACCGGTCATAATCCAGATGGATATTCTCCACACCATGATAGTCTCCATGAACGTTTCCAAACGCAGGAGCCAAAAAGTCAATACCCGTCGCAATAAAGTCATCGACTTCTTCTTCCGTCGTCATCATGCCCTCGAGCTCAGCAGTATCCTTGACGCCGTCTTCCCCGCCTTCGATTCGACCCGGCTCCGCTTCCGTAGAAATCCCCTCAGCGTGACATAACGCGACCAGCTCTTTCGTTTTGGCCAAATTCTCCTCTTTCTCATAATGGCTCATATCCACCATGATGGAATCAAAGGACGGTGTCCCGTCTGCCGCCCGCATCTTGGCTGCCACTTTAATCACTTCGGGATCTTGAGCGTGGTCCATGTGCACGGTGACGGGCACGGTGGCTTTGCGGGCGGCATTGGCGGCGAGGTCGATGAAGAGGGGAGAGTACTTGAGTGCCCATGGGAAGAGCAGGATTTGAACTGGAGATCGTTTCTTTTCCGCTGCACGGATTACTGCAACGATGGTTTCGAGATTGTAGGATACTACTCCGAGGACTCCGTATTTGCCTGCAGCTGCCTTGTTCAGCATCTGCACTGCTCGGTTGTTCTCCAGCTTGTCGAGAGGCATGTTGTCGGTATCAATTCGTGTGTTTCTTTGGGGAAAGGTGTGGCAGTGGTGTGTCAAAATGGGGGAAGCACTGCCTTATGCACCTTATGCACTGAGTCTGGATACCACCTCAGTATGAGACGCGATTTCCGTTGCCGATATTGTCTTGATAGGTGAAATATTCGCAGCCGACCCCACTGCTGCCCCTCCAGAGGAGCGTCCCCGATCGGCTTCGGTTGCAGATGTGCCGTTGATTGATCAGGCTCATTGATGATCCGGGGCCCATCCCATCTTAACTACATAGAGACCGGACACGTCTCTGGTCATTGGTATTGAGTGAATAAGCCACGGAGAAGAGAACAAATGAATTGTGTCGTGTTAACTGTGCAAAAGGCATTGACACGATTTACTCTCTCGGATCTCTAGAAATCCGGGACCTACTCCCACGGCAAGACGACAAAATATGGTCTCCCCAGACTTCGACTATGAGAAGGCCGACAACAATAGTCTCATCGGCAGGTGGATGCAAGCACGCACCGAGAGCTATACGGGGTTGCAATGGAAACCTATAGCAAGACTGTTCATATTCGGAGAAGTGAGGATATAACCCCGTTATAGAGCGGCTTGGGCCTTTGTATGATATCTCAATCCTCAATCTGTATTTCAAACACATTCATGCCGCCATGTTCGTTGAAAACAGTTCCACAACACCAGCCTGGTTAAATTTGTGGTTAGCAGGACTCCAGTGTTCACACAGCGTCCAAAGAAAGGGGACCAGGGGAGCACTTCTACTGTAAAACATCTGAGTGGCTGCTCGAGCAGATTCACGGCGCCGTCGTAGCGTCCGAATGACTGACGGACTGGACCAGCACGCGCTTCGTGCTAGACTTCACTTCGTGCCCAGCCCCAGGTGAGTCAATAGCTGCTCATGTGCAGGATGCATTGAAGCCATGTCTATAATCATCTCGGCCAATGGCTCACATCTTCGCCTCCCTCTTCCCACTCTTCACGCCCTCAACAGGCTTTCCGCTCAGCAGGAAGTCTGGATATTCCCACCCTTTCCCCTCAGTCGCCCCAGTCGTCCTCCACTGCCCACCATCAACAACCAAGATATTTCCATTGACATAGCTTCCCGCCTCAGAGAAGAGGTATATCGTCGCATCAGCAATCTCCTTCACCTCGCCATATCGCCCTACAGGGACTCGCTTCTTCGAAAGCTTTGCACTTTCCTCGTCTGACTTGGACAGTCGCTCCATGCCCTCAGTTCCTGCTATTGGACCCGGAGTGATGACATTGGACGTGATGCCATACGGACCATATTCAATTGCCACAGAGTGACTGATCTGATCCACCGCAGCTTTCGCAGCCATGACATGTGCCTGCAAAGGAAAGCCTTTGAAATGGAAACTCGCACTGATGAAAATCATCCTCCCTCCCGTACCTCCCGCCTTCGCCGTCGCCTTGCCCGTGTTGGGATACTTCTTCGCAGACGTAATCAGATACGGCAACACCGCTTTCGCAGTATGATATGACCCCAACGTATCAATCTCCATCACCGTCCGAAATGCATTCGCGCTCAACTGCGCCATGGGCGCGAGAAAATTCCCTGCAGCACCCGCAATCGCAAAATCTATGCCTCCCAACTCCTTTGCGCAGCGATCTGCAGCTTCCTTGAGTGCAACGGCATTTCTCACGTCCACGTTACCGTGTCCGATGACGCGGGATCCTGCACGTGCAGTCTCGAGGTCTTTGGCCATCTGTTCCGTCTTTTCCACATTGCGCCCGATAATGTACGCGTTCCCTCCCAGGGCGACAAAGGCGCGGACTTGGATTGAGCAGATGGTGCCTGCTCCGCCGGTGCAGAAGAGAACTTTGTTGGTGAAGATTCCGTCTCGCCAGACGTCGGAGAGGAATTGTTCGCGGGGCACAGGCATGCTGGAGACTGGAAGGAGGGTATTGACAGATAGATATATCTGTAGATAGTGAGAGAGAGAGAGAGAGAGAGAGAGAGAGAGAGAGAGAGAAGAGAAGAAGAGAGAGAGAGAGAGAGAGAG